GTGATTGCAGCTGAGAGCGGCCACTTGGAAGTTGTGCGCTTGTTGCTAGAGGCTGGAGCTGACAAGGATGTACCAAATGCAAATGGTGCAACGGCTTTGTTGCTTGGAGCTGAAAGTGGCCACATGGAAGTTGTGCGCGTGTTGCTAGAGGCTGGAGCTGACAAGGATGTAGCAAATGCAAATGGTGCAACGGCTTTGTTGCTTGCAGCCGAAAGTGGCCACATGGAAGTTGTGCGCCTGTTGCTTGAGACTGGAGCTGACAAAGATGCAGCAAAAAGAAGTAGGGCAACACCATTGCTTGTTGCAGCTGAGAAGGGCCACTTTGGAGTTGTGCGATTGTTGCTTGACGCCAGAGCTTCCAAAGATGTTAGCAACACATATGGTGCAACGGCTTTGATAATGGCAGCCGAAAGCGGCCACTTGGAAGTAGTGCGATTGTTGATTCAGGCTGGAGCTGACAAAGATGTAGCAAACAGACTTGGCGCAACGGCTTTGATGATCGCAGCTGAGAGTGGTCACTTGGAAGTTGTGCGCTTGTTGCTTGAGGCTGGAGCTGACAAAGATGCAGCAAATAGAAGTAGGGCAACAGCTTTGCTTGTGGCAGCCGAGAGTGGCCACTTTGAAGTTGTGCAATTATTGCTGGAGGCAGGAGCTGACAAACATGCAGCAAACACAAATGGGGCAACGGCTTTGATGGTTGCCTCTGAGAGCGGCCACTTGGAAGTTGTGCGCTTGTTGCTGGAGGCCGGAGCTGACAAAGATGCAGCAAACACCAGCAGGGCAACCCCTTTGTTTGCTGCAGCCGAGAGTGGCCACTTGGAAGTTGTGCGATTGTTGCTGCAGGCTGGAGCTGACAAAGATGCAGCAAACACGGGCAGGGCAACCCCTTTGCTTGCTGCAGCCGAGAGTGGCCACTTGGAAGTTGTGCGCTTGTTGCTTCAGGCTGGAGCTGACAAAGATGCAACAACGGCGGATGGGTCAAATGCTTTGCTTTTTGCAACCCAGAACGGCCACTTGGAAGCTGTACAATTGTTGCTCAATGCTGAAGTTGACACCAGCAACACCAAATTGGTCAACTCCGACAGCTCCTTTCATTGATGCAGCCCTACGCAACCACTTGAAAGTTGTGCGATGGTTGCTTCAGGCTGGAGCTGACAAAGATTCATCCTTCTCGTCATATCGAACAACATGTGAATTTGTTCACAAGCACCTGGGAGACCACCCAGTGACCTTTGGATCCCCTGGTTTGAGGTCACAAAACAGGCCTGTAAAATCCTGTAAAAGGTTACTTTTCGACTCCAGAGGTTCTGGTATATGTTCAGGATTTGTTACTTGGGGGGTTGTTTCTAAGCCAGGGCCAGAACTATATAGTTGTTTCTGGTTGACTCGCGACTGTGGCCAACCCAAGTTCTCGCATCAAGCTTTGTTGGGTTACCACAGGCAGAAGACACATGAAGACACCGAAACGCCAATAGAGACTGCACACCAAGTCATGAGCCTTAGGACTCCAAGTACGTTCCTAGAAGGTGTTTGGGGAGGGTTTGGAGGATCCAAATACTTTCTGAGGAGATACTTGGAGCCTTAGGGGAGGTGTTTGAGAATCTGTATACCATCCTAACCTGTCCTACGTGATCAAGATCTGTAGCTGGTGGTGAATGTCATACACCGTGGATTCCATTCAATCAGTTTCAATACCTCGGACATGGACATGGCAATTTGGACCTCTTTTCACCCACACCGTACCTCACCACGCCTCTCTTCCGCCTCCTTGCCACGTTCCACCGCGCGGCCTCCACTGCCTCCAGGAGATGCACCGCTTGTCGCAGCGCGTCCTCCTGGAGCGCATGACCGCCGCGTCGCTCTTCGCCCCGCTACTGCACAAGATTCTAAGATGGACACTACATGACAGTACCCAGACGCTCCATGTATGCCCCCCCAAACCACCCCAATGTAGGCAAATATGGCATACATGGAGCGTCTGGGGTACAGTATCAGGTACACAAGAGATTCCTGCAATGAAGGGTTTGCAAAGGATGATCGTTCTTTGTTTGCGGATGTGCCTGGAAACCCAGTCCCAATCAGAAACAAAGGCTTGTTCCAGAATGGTGCCAGCTTGAGAGCCGACTTTTTTGTCATAGCAGGTATTAACAAGTGAGGGGCTTTTCAGATTCTGGGGAAGCGTCCAGAAGTGTTGCTGTTCGGAACCGGGTTTCCCTTCACAGGTCCTTCTTGTTTTGCTGAGGTTGGCAGTGTGGATGACATGATGGCAGCAGGCGAAGTCGAGCGCCCCCCGTGGCCCGCGCGGCCCGCGCTTTCGCGCACGGCGATAGGACGCGGCGACAGTAGACATGTCGGGCCATGTGCCCAGTTACGGGCTGCAGATCAAAGCTTCGCTGGCGCGCAAACGGATAAAACTGGAGCACTTTTGAAGTTATATAATTTCATGGTGACCAGCTGTCAAATTAGATCCAATTAGATCGAATGATTAGCTGTCAATGAACTGGACCAAAGCAGCTAAGCCCTTCGTTTTCCTTCATTCGTTCGGTGCTGAGTCTAAACCTCCACGTAGATCCGACGTTTTAGACAACGAAACAGACAGCACACTTTCTAAGTCCTTTGCCCACCAACAAAGGACCTCCCAACCCAAAACCGCACCAACAACCGCCAGAACCAAGACCAAACCGCGTCCACCGGCTCAAGGGCTCCCTGCCACTGAGCCGCCGCCGACGTGGCCGGCGTGCCCCAATGGCCGGCTCCGAGTCCAAGCAACGAACGGCTCATCAACCAGACACGACCTGGGACTGGAATAGGTGCTTCATGTCCAGTTCACGCTTCTTGCGACGCTGAGATTCAGACTCACTGTTGAGCCATCGTGCCACTTCGAGCCAGTACAGTCCGCCGTCTTAGACTTCGCGCAACTGTCGTGGGCAACGGGGCAGAGCACGAGGCTCGGCACGACTCGATCGGCAGGCTTGATGTTCCACTTCATGCCGCACGGCTTGGGTCACCAGCTGGGCCTCGACGCGCACGACGTGGGTGGCTATGGTCCTGGAGAACGGCGCCAGGCGACGCCTGGGTTTTTTGTGCGAGACCTTTTTGGAGGGTGAAAGGAGGGATCACAAAATTGGACAAACTTCTGGAGAAACCTTGCTGCTTCCGTGGTGTGACTTTGAACATATTATATATAACCTCCATATGCCAGATCAGAAATCCACCACGCTCAAACATCCATAGAACCCCCTTTCTTTCGATCACAACACCACCCACCCTGCAAACCTGCGCAAGAGCGCAAGCCGCTGCGAAAGTGCAGGATGATCCCAGCATCAAGGAGAATCTCCGGTGTGGGCGAGTGCTGAAGGAGAACATGGCACGGGTGCTCAGGGGATTTCCAGCCGATCTGAGGCGGGTGGCACACGGGCGTGCGTGGCGCAGCTGGAGCTGGTGGATGTTGGTGCCGACTATAGCCATGCGGTTGGTTGACATAGATGTACTCGTAGCCCGTAGTCCAATATAGCCATACGGTTGGTTGACCTACTGCAGATGTACTCGTAGCCTGTAGTCCAAATCACACATCACTTTACCTGATCTCGCACTCCTCTTGATCTTCAATGATTCTGATGAAAAAGATCATCGCGCAGCGCGGCGCAGCACATGTATTCCTCCCACTTCGGCCGATCCAATCACATGGCTTGAATTGGTATTTCTATGTATTTCTGTCCCAGCATGGCCAGTATATCCGTCGGTCAGAAAGGTCTTAGTATACCTGATGTTTGAATTAAGGCTTGCAACCTAACTCTCATCATCCACTATCACCATTATTACCACGGAATAGGATATCGGATAGACCCCAACACATGGGTTTCATGGGCTTTCTGTTTGCTTCTGGAGTCGGTCCTGTCCGAGGTCATCACCGTTGAGCCGGGCTTCTACTTCATCGACTACCTGATTGAGGACGAGCCAAACCGTCCGTGACCGGTCACGGCCGAAGCAACGCGTTGCGATGAGATACAGAGAGACACCCCGAGTTGTAACATGTGATTCTGGAAGACGATCCCATGGACCCTGAAAACCACTGGTTGGTAGAGGAAAACAATCTTGCGGGCCGGGGCCAGGACGTCAGGGTCTATCGGTCTATGTATGTCTATGTTAGTTTTCGGGAGTGTAGATTCTGGAGACCCACAATGTATCGTGCAAGAGACGTCAAGGAGTCCAGTTAAAATGCCATCGATCGCCATAATATCAGAACGCACACACACACACAACCTGCTTGGAATTCCATGGAATCCTGTGGACGACGGGTACTTGCACCCTTGTCCCACAAACATTGGTTGGAACCCCCAAATGACCTTCAAGACGTTCTCCAGGTGAAGTAAGCACAGTTTGTTAATTGGATTTCAATTTAGCAAGTCCTTTTGGTAAAAGTCACCGGCGCACAGTGCCATAATTTTCCATGTCTGAGATCCTCCGGATGTTCTCCAGGAAGCCTTAGCTGATGCCAACAAGGCAAAGTTCATCAACCAGGACGAGAAGACACACGAGTCCCACGAACTGCGCCGACCAATAGAGGAGGTTACCTCCTCGGGTTCGGTATGACTGGCTGGACCTTCCAAACACTTGGGGCCCCAGTGCCACCGAAACGAAGGTACTTCAGGCCACTCTGTTGGGCTCTTGGAGCTGACTCTGTTTGCCACCCTAATAGCGTCCTTGCTACTTACTAGATCTTGCTATAGTAGTAATGCCAGGAGCTACATGCAGCCGTAGCTTCTTGTGACGGTCGTCGCGATGGCCTCCTTCACCTCGCGTTGGCCTCGCGTCGTGTCTGGAGGATCGGCTCCATGACTTTTGGTCCTCGGTGGGCGGCGTGCGCATCGAGGACGACGTGGGGGCGGCCCAGGACTCCGCCCTTCGCATCGGTGCGGAGGCGCCCAAGACCGGACTCCTTGGGCCGTTGGCGAGCCACGGCACCAGTAGGCTGCTGGAGTGTTCGCAAGCCACATCAAGCCACGCACGCCCACCCAAAAGGACCGAAGGGCAGGGCAGGGAGTCGGTCACGGAGCCCAAAAAAGGCCTTGACGAGCAAAGGGACTTCAGGTCGTTTAGGGCACGAGTCACGACCAAGCTGGAGCATGTTTTTTTGTTCGATGATGATTTGATTCGGGTCCTGAGATGGCCATAGCAAATAATCATCAAGGATCTAAGAACTTGTGATAGCTTCATATCTTCGGGTCCTTGGTGATCTTCAGGTCCTTGGCTCTGATCAAGAAGTTGGTTGGAGAGAGCACTTGGCTTTGCGCCCAGGTGGTGATCACAAAGGATGGCTGTCGGGTCTTGACCTGCGTCCCCCGCACCGTGGCGGAGATCGAAGCCACCATGGCGGGTGCCGAGTGGCAGGCGAGTGACGGCGAGTGGCGACCGGTGATGGCCTTGGGAGCGATGGTCTTGGCCTGGTAACCGGTAGTGGTGAGACTTCCAGGTGGGGTAGTTCATGAGTCATTGGAAGCTCTTTTAAATGATGTTCATGGTGGGAGACTTCTGGAATCTTCGCCTGTTGAAGAACATTGCTGGGAGAGGACAGAGGAGCTATGGACGAGAGCGTGCCCAGAACTTTCATTCAACTCTGGAATCTAGAAGAATCCTTTGTTTTTGGCCCAACAGGTGGGTGTTCCATTGGGTTTTGGCATTTGCGCTCAGGCGCCCTTCCCAACAATCCCACTTCCTAACTTTATTTGTTTGTGTCAGTCTTAGACAAGGGCAGCGAAATATTTGGTTGTTGGAAGTGCACCAAGAATGGTGTTACTTGGTTTTGTTTGGACATATATTTGGATCATGACCCTGACCGCTCACAGATGATGCGCGAGCTCCCAAGCTGAGTGCACCAAGAAGAAGAAGAAGAAGCACTTGCAGGGTTTGGTCTAATCTTCCTTTTACCAGCCGATAGAGGGACTTTAAATGACCCAAGGCACACTTCATCAAAGAAATATGCAAATGGTAGACCACCATCAGACACCGTTCGTAAGGGATGCATCCTACCTAGTGCTTCCTGTCTGGGTGTCCTGTCTGAGTAGTGCAGGGGTTGTCCATTGGTGGCCCTGACAGGAAGCAACCGGTAGATCTGCTCTTGTGCCCCTTTGTGTCCAGGTGAGTTCTTCCTGCTGTCGCAGCTACACTGCCGTGGAGTAGGCAGTGCAGTGGGTCTCCTGAAAAAGACTGGTCGTTGGTCGCTGGCTTTGGAGAGGTATGGATTAATAGATGGAGAACTGATGCTTTGTTTCGGGGTGGATGCTAAATGACACGAATGACAACGACTATATTGATGGCTTACGTGGACCATCAGGCTCATGATGAACGACCATGAGGCTCATGACTCATGAGGGTTTGAATTTGCAGCCTCATCTTGAGAACTGTTTGCTGCAATGCTCGGCTCTTCCTCCTCTTCTTCCTTTTCTTCGTAAGAGCTATCTCGGTGGGCGACGGTCAATTTGAATGCCTTTGGCACATGCTCCAACAGGAAGGCTTGCAATTGGACCTCCGGACTCACGTGTGGGCTCTTTCTTGAACAAAAGTGGATTCACCTAGTCGCCATGAGACAGGGGCCAGTAGACAGTGACGCAAGAAGACCCCGTAGGTGACGCATCTATAGCAGCTCACCGATGGTCGTGAGTCCAAACAAAGCCTCTATCCTGCTGCTGCATGTTGGAGTGTTCAGCGTTTTCAGCGTCACCACCTGTTTCTAGATGTATTTGGAGCATTCTCGAACCGTTTGACCCGTGCTTTCAATGGGAAACGGCATGAACAACACCATGTTGGGGCTCCCAAACAGGGTAACTCTGGGCAAGATGCAGTTCCGGTCGTTCGTCATGAACTTCTAGTGTCCAGAATCCATGTTGACACCTCAATGCAGGCTGTTGATGATCCTTCAACCCCTTATATTGGGCGGTTTTGTTCATGGAACCTTTTTGCGGCAGGCTTGATCTTACTGAAAATCCGATCTAGATGTATATAGCGGCAAAACTGCCACGCTGTCACCGGGGATTTGGACCTTGCTGAAGTCAGTGACAGACTTGCTTTGTTCCTTTTCTCATTCAAGCTTACCTATATAGATTGGGTTTTTCCTATTGCCTGCAACAGTCAGTACACAATTATCACGATTTTTTCAAAGAAGGTCTTCCCTAAGCATCATCATCCACTGTTGCTGGTAGGATAGACCCCAAATAGGATAGACCCAAACGATATCTACAGAGCATCCAATACCCTAGGGCTCCAAGTGCCTCCTCAGAAGGTATTTGGACTCTCCAAACCCACCCCAAACACCTTCTCAGAAGGTACTTGGAGCCCTACGGATACAAACCTCCTCCGGTTCGGATTAGCGGACTTGGCAGGCCATTTGAAGATGCCACACCAGATCACCTGGGAGAGGATCCGAGGTCAGTTCGCAGGTGATCCGGCCACCTCGCTGTTTCATTTTCTGCCATGACCGTCGCTAGATCCACGTGCAGCTCCAGAGACCTGACCAGCTGTAGAAGCTATCTCTAAGAGGTCCAAGAACCTTGTTCCAGGGGGTCAGTCGAAAGCAGCACGAGAAGGTTGGAGACTGGTTTTGGGTGTCGTCGTGAGTTCGGGTGTGTAGACATCCAGGACCACGGGTGAGGTTTCACAATTGAAAGTGATGATTCAGCAGGAATCACGTCGAATAAAGGTCGGACAAACCTTTCATCAGATGGAGCCAAGTCCTAAAGATGTGCGCCATGGTCTAAACATGTCTAAACTCCTGGTTGTAGTGGGATAATTACTCCATGTTCAACATCCACGTTTATACATCATGTTGTTCTTTTTGTGGATCGTAGGATGAGCATCGGTACCTGGTACCTCTGACAGCATGCGCAGCACATGCAGCTGGAGAGACTGAGTCCTGGAGCTGCGCTCGTCGAAGCTCCACCGGCCCATGCTCGTCCAAGCTTTGTCGGAGAGAGACGACTGGGCCAAAGCGGCGAAGAAAACGAAGAACGTGGCGGCCACGGCCGTTGGGGAAGTGGCTGAGAACCCCGAAGCGGCTGCAGCAAATGTGAGGAATGTGAGGATCATTAGGTGTGTGCAACTTGCGGAGGTTCCAAGTGACCTTGCTTGGATGGTTTGGGTAAGTTCTTTGAGTTCAAAGAAGAAAGAAGACATCTTGTTTGATTTTGCGGCGTTGTTGGAGCATGTGTATAGAAAGCATTCCAAAGCTGTATGCAGGCTCATCGATCATGACATGCGATGCCAAGTGATTGTCCCTCACACAAGAAACTAGCTTTGGACTCTGGACGAATTCTGTTTGTTGGTGTTCCTTTCACAAACCACTACGTCCTTGTTCATCTAAAATCCTCGAGTGGAGCAACAAAACTCGTACTCGTTTCAGTAACCCAAACCCTTGCGTTGGACGAACAAGTTTGCTTTGAGAGCTAGCAGCTATAGATACCTATACTTCTGTTTCATGGAATCCAGGGCCGCCACTGCAGCCACTTCTGCACCAAAACGCGCCCTCCTCCCACCCCACCTGCACCAGGTACGACGTCTATTGCCATGCGCGTGACCGCGGGACGGAGGTGGATTCAGGCGTTCCAGCCGCAGGAGCGCCGCAGACGCCGCAGGGAGGGATCCGCAGGGCAGGGCAGGGCTGGCAGAGGTTGTGGCTAGTGGCCAGACCAGGTGGGGAGAGTGGCTATAGTATGCTATAGTTTTTGTGTGGTTTCAATCCAATCTGTTTTCATACCTGTGTAAGGTTCTGGACTTGGCCTGGTATATCCTCATCATTCCTCATCAAAGGTGCTTGTCTTTTGACATGTTTGAGGCGAGGGTTCAGGGAGGGTGAGAGGTTCTTTGGGCAGCAATCGCGTCTCCAACGGGTACATCGGCCCGAACATTGAAGAGACTGGCCTTCGCAAAAGAACACCGGGCCTTGCATGAACACAATTGTTGGAAGAACACATTCCACATGTCATTACTTTTAGGATCGTTTAAGTATTCATGTTTTAAAGACATGACGCTACTTACTTTTGTGATCTGTTGTGTATTCATGTGTTTTTTTCTTTTTCAACAACCCCATTTTTACTCTCGCGACCGTCCTGGAACAAGTCGAAGGAGGACCCACACAGACGTAGACGCGTCCGTGCCGACGCCAGGCAATCCCGGCAACGATGTCGACCACACACACGCTGGGCACCAAGGGTTGGAGCAGCTGAAGAACCTCAAGTCATGCAATGGTTCTGCGAGAATCATGCAGGAAAGTAGCTATGTTCAGCGTTTAAGCAAGCAGTTGAGAGAAGAACATGGGGAGATCAACCAACTGGTTTCTGGTTCAAAGCAAACTCCAACTGGCAATATTCTTCCTTGTGTACCGTTTCTGGTTCAACCCGCCATCGCTTGAAGATGTAGGTGACACAGAAGCAATTTGTACCCTCCGACTCACTGACATGGAAGTGGAAAATGGTCCTTTGGAAGACCAATCCCAGACACTCCAGGTATGCCATATATGACTCCATTGACCCCCAAAACCACCCCAATGTAGGCATATATGATATATCATATATGGCAGTCCCATGGAGTGTCTGGGAATGGTTCTGGCCGCCCCCTCCATGGACTGGGGTGGGTGTGGTTTTGGGGGTCGAAGACCACCGAACCTGAGGATATAGGCAGGCCTAGGGTATGAAACAGGATGAAACAGGCATGTGATATTATGGTATCTATATGGGTAAATATTCTAATCCCTATATAGGGCTCCTATATAGAGGAGACCCCCATGATACCGTGTGACTTTGAAACAGGAGCCGGGTATTTGTCCACTTCCGATGTTTTCGTCGATGAGTGAGTCGGATCTTGTTCTCTGGAGAGGTTCGAACGCGAGCTTTGCTATTCTGATTCTTTTGGCCACACGAAGACCTCTAGAGTGAGTGAGTCCCAAGCGCCTGAACCTGAAGTTTTATGCGTTGGGGCAATTTTCTGTGGCACAGTTGTTCAATGACGAGTTGTGTTCTTTCTTTATATTTAGCCTAAGCCTAAACACATGTCAGATTCTTTGTTTGCATCTCGGCCTCTCCTTCGTGGTTGGTTTCATGTGTCCCGTTTCCCGGCCAACGAATGGGTCAACTGGCAGCGGGTGGGTCAACTCAGCGGAAAGCGTCAGTCAACTGCCTCGTGGAGCCATGTGGCCGTGGGCGGCTTGCGAATTCGGAATACACAAGGCTTAGTGTGCCGAGCCTGTGTGTATTCTATTGTTCTCAGGCTTTCGCGTCAAGCCAGCTAAAGAAGACCATTTTATCGTAGATCGTCTATGAGAGCTGATGTGCCACATGTGATTGTTTGAATGGATGATGTTCGAATTGCAATGTGTTCAGACGATGGGAGAAGTTTAAGCTACTTCACAACATGGATGTGAAGGCTGTGGGCTGCAAGAGTACTGAACCTGTAGAGCCTCGGACCTACATGGCACCTTCATATGTGGTATTGGGTTCTAGACTTCTTTAGGTCTATGATGGTATATGTACTATAGGTATCTATAGGTATATATAATCATTGACCAGAACCCCCAAAGCCACCAGCTTCCACCGATCGAACCGCCCATGGCGTTCTCGTGCCGGTTCTCGCGCCGAATTCCAGGCGGGGCCGGGAGGTCACCGTGCCCTAGACTGGAGTGGATCCCAAGTCTACCTTTAGGCAGAAATACTATGGCTTGTATGAAAGACACATATGCCAGGACCTTCAAAGTGACCTTTTGATATCCTAGAATGAGGTCACTTAGTCCCTAAAGAGGTCACTTAGAGACTCCAAAGAGGTCACGTACTGAAGGTCCTGGTGTATATATACACTGTATATGAACATCAACATGTTTGATCGAAGACCTCGGGAGTTTCGATGGCGGCATTAAACCCAAGAGCATCTAAATGCAACATAACATAACGCAAGTCATAACTCATCATTTATCTGACAGCAATGCTCTTTGTTTGGAGATGTACTCTTCCAACCAACTGCACGGCTATCCAGTCACACTCCCCATGGATAAATTAAGACCACGCTCACCCAGACTGTCGCACTCCAGTTTCTCAGTGAGAAAGCCGCTCTGTAACAGCGGTTTTGTTTCAGGCCTTGACACAAAAGGTAGTCAAAACTGAACAGGTGAGAATTAAGGGGAAGAGTATAATTACGCCAGTAGCAGTTGTTTCTCCCACACTAAGCTGCTAATGTAAGCAATCACCAGGAGCATGTGCTTTGCTTTTTATAGCGATCCATTACCAGCAGCTGCCACCATGTTGCCCCCCCCTTTCAGGCAGCGTGCAGCCTGCGCCTTGCGCTGCAACAGGCCTGGAGTTCACATGCGGACGTGCAATTTGACCAGGCGGTTGTTCCTTTGGTTTGCGTGGTGCTTGTGTTTCCAGAACATTCCACAACTGTTTGGACTTAGCTAGCCGGTTAGCCGGCCCATCAAATCCACGATCACCCGCTGGGATCCGCCATGGAGGGCCCAGTTCGATGACCTGCTTTGCCAGACTTCAACCATATCCTTGTACAATGGTTTCAGAGTAGATGGCACAATTCCCAAAAGGTGGTTTATATGGACCCCCATCTAAAAGACATATAGGGGTTTGTGCCATCTACTCTGAAACCACTGTAAAAGAGTGGAAACCTTGTCACTTGTTTCTAAGCACTTTTAGGGCATTGGTTTCTTTAGTCTTCAACAATAAAATCTGAGCGGACAGTGGACAATGGTTCACAAAGAACACTGCCCGTTCACATGATCACACAATATTGTGGTGTTGTGTTGCAGGTGTCAGCGAGTGGAAGCTGAGCACCGATATAGTCTGTCTGCACAGTTGGATGGAAACGACAAAATTTGTCCCCCACCCGAATCCAATGAACTTCCAAGTGGATTCACCTATTACATCCTATACTGTACTATGCAATGATCATCCCCAAAGGCCTTTGGAACTAAACTAATTAAAACTCACATTCCAACCATTTTGCAAACCATTAAGCACGTTGTATAATCTACATACCATATTAGATCTTATATGATACCATATATATATAATATATATAATCAACATAATATATGGATCATTCATTCTGATGTGGTCTTTCTTTGGTTGTTTTCCCTTGGTGGTGCCCGGTAGACAGCCGCTTGCTTTGCCGTCTCGGCTCCAGTCGAACCTCCGAAAAGCTCAGATCCGGGTCGGAGCCGATTGGTAGTCATGGTGAAGGATAGAACACAGCAGCTATGGGCAGAGTGGGTTTCTTGGGACTTGTTTCAAGTTGAACAGTTGTTTGCTTGTGTTTGTTGCAAGTCCACTGGCAGAAACATATGATACATATCATATATAGCTTCAATAGCTTCCCCTGATGTTCTTAAGATACCACCAGCAGTTGTTGATCCTACTCGATGTGTTCTCTCAACTTATCTCAGGTCGCTGAGAAGCTCTCCAGCTCCTTCAGAAAGACGGGCAGCTTTGCGGTGGTGGTGGAAGCTTCAGATGGGACGCGCACGGAGTTCAAGGTGAGAGACGCTTAATAGAAGAGCCAGTTTACAATCTGCTCTCTATTAAAGTCCGCGGAAACCCGTGGAGCGCTCGGACTTAGTGCCACACTCGGACTCGGACCAGCGAAATCGCACTTTCGATCTCGAAGCGCCTTTAGGGCCCTACTCTTTAAGATGTTCCTCAAGGTTTTCTCATGGACCCATATGCTACTGGTACAACCAGATCTCCTGAGCATTGAAATGCTTGTTGGCTCCTTTTAAAGACCTCCGTGGACCTTGCTGTGAACTTGTATTCAAGGGGAGAACTAGAGGAATTGGCATCCCAAACTTGGAGCTTGTGGTGGGGTGGTTCCGTGCAACCATTCTTCAGATCTCTATGCTACCTCCTGCCTTGCAAAGATAAATGTCTAAATATTCCGTGCAACGTTTCTCTTTGCATGCTCAGCTGCCATGTTTTGGAGGTCTCCTCGGTGATCTTGTCTTCTTGGTCTGAAGTCTTTGACAAGATGATGAACCACGACTTCAAGGAGCACACGCAAAAGGAAGTCGTCACTTGCATGGAGTTGGGCAGATGGCAAGCAGTGAAGGCTGCTGTCATGGACATGTGAGGCCCAGGAAAGTCATTCACTTCCACAGCATTGTTGGGCTTTGGTTTTGTCACCAAAGAAACAAAGGTCCAGGTGGAACCAAAGATTAAATTATGTTTTTTAGTGACGCCTAAAAAAGACTTAGGGATTTTGGGTTACTGCAGTTTGTGTCGCATCTTTGACAAGCAGCACTATTACTATGTTGCAATCATGTTGCACATGAGCCTTGCCCTTTTCCTTAAGATATATGTCATAGTATAACATCTCAGTGATTTGTGCAACTCTGAGGGCAACACCAGGTGGGTGAGTTGGGTTTGCTGATCTAAGGTCATTAAAGACTTCTCACCGCATGGCATGGAGACCTTCTTGCGTTTCCTCTACTCGGGCACCTTGGATGTGGATATTCAAACGATTGTGGAGGTCATGGCCATTGCTGACAAGTACCACGTGAAAGAGCTTTCAAAACATTGCCGCTTCGCTTGGTCCTTTGGTCCATTTTGTTTGTGGTTTTAGATTATGCCTGTGTGTGGGAATGACGTCGGATGAAGACCGCCATACAGAATAATTGTGTGAACGGCAGATCCCACGGTTTCTATACTTTTTTGCGCGTGGCCCTGATGACTTTCAGTGGTCCGAAAATGACTTTTGCAAAGCAAGGCCATGATCTCCTCCAACTTCAGCTCAGTGAAAGTGCAAAGACTGCTTGGGAAATCATCAAAGCTGCAGACCATTTCCGGCTTCAAGACCTCCGAGAAGTGGCAATGCGTGCCTTGCTGATGCAACCAAAGGTGGCTTTGGAAGAACGCCCGGCGGTGAGTGACGAGTTGTTGCACGAAGTGCTGGGTTGTGGCTTCTTGTGCATTTCCGATGAAGAGCTGCTGGATCTTCTCATGACCTGGAAGGAAGCTGATGAAGGTTGCGCAAGCAGAATGGACCTCGTTGGGAAGTACGTTTGCTTGAAGTGCATTCCGGCAGACAAGATCAAAGCCATGGTGTTGATGCCTGAGTTTGGATTCTTCAAGTCTGTCAAATCGAAGACCATTCGCAGTGAGCATACCGAGGATGTACTTTATAGTCTACAAGAGCACTGTGAGGGTCAGCATGGGGACAAATGGCACAATGTTTTCCGATCAGACTGGGTGAGTGTCGCCCACAGCGAGGGCGCCATTATCACTGGTGGTTTGAATGATCTGGCCTGTCAAAACACGACGGAGGAACTGGCCGCAGGAAATTGGGTGGAGTGGAGATTTCCTCACTTTGCAGTGAAGCTGGTGGCCATCCGTTTTATTGAAGATGTGGCAGAAGGTGCTCACTTCATCGTGTCGTGTGGCAACCAGGACAGCTCAGGCAGTATGCAACAAGTGTTCCGTTCTGAGGAACATGGTCAAATCTGTGAGGGCCAGGTGTTCCTGTGCAAATGCGACTTTGTTGCAACATGTTTCTTGGTGGAGGTGACGGCAGGAACTTTTGATGTGTGCAGTTTCACCTTTGACGGATTTCTTCGGCATGATTGCGATTTAATCAATGAGGCCCAGTGATGGATGTGTTCCTTCCGATATGCCCAGTGGGCACAGATCGATTAGTTTTGAAAGCAGGCTGTTTTCTATGCCAAAGCAGGCAAGTTGCTGTGCATGGAAAATAGGTTGACGGAATGCCTTTGGATTCTGGGTGGATGGTGTTTTCATCCAGTGAGCTGGTGAGCCTCTGGGGCTGGAGGGAAGAACAACAACAGAAACACTTTGTTGATCATTCTGGTGGTTTGTCGCTAAGCAAGTAATTGCTGAAACTCCACAAACTATATGTGTCTTTCAGCATCCGTGATTGACAACAAGGCTTTTGCTTAAAAAACGACCCTTGCAACCAAAAGCGTAGATGGCCTTTTACTACTGGTTGGTTATCCCCAAGTGTAGTTACAACCCTGGTTGGTTCGGTCACTTAGTAGGCTTGTAAGTTCGGTCACTGGATGGGACTCCAAAATGGTCACTGGGAAGGTCCTGGCTTAAGACTTAATTAGGTTGGTACCCAGAGTGGTAACCCGGCAACCCGGCGACTCAGACCGCAACCGATCCATCAAACCTTCGTCTGGTGGTCTCACGGATCGGTGTCTGGTGGTCGGGCGCCCGTGCTTCGTTTTGGGGGTTTGAGGCTTCTATGAAAAAAGGTCGTCAAGCCTCATGGTTTTCAAGTGAACAGGTGAAAATTGAAGAGAGTGCACTGAAAGAAAAGTTGCACCAGGAGCTTGTTTTGCTCTTTGTAGCGATCCATTACTAGCAGCTGCCACCATGTTGCCCCCTCCTTTCAGGCGGCGTTCAACCTGCGCCTTGCGCTGCAACAGGCCTGGAGTTCACACGCGGATGGGCAATTCGACCATTGGATTCCTACGGTTTGTGTGGTGCTGTTGTTTTCAGACTGCTTGGGCTTCCGTCACGTTCACCGCCACGTTCAGGGCCAGTCTGACTGAGTCAGAGCCAAAGTGGACAGGGGTGCCCCAAAGGTTCGAATTACCCGCTGAAAACGAACTATGGACCCTCAAAACCGCTTGTGCAACTTGAGGTAAGCAGTCTATATTGGGTGCCATTCCACCATAGGGTCCATAGGCCACCGGACCAAATCATTTTTCAGCGAGGTACCAGGGTGCTAGATCCGCTATAGGACCCCACGATGTCCATTCCTTGTTGGTGCTTGTTCGTCATTTTTTTTTGGTTTTAGCTGAGTTGAAAGATCCGCCACTCCTGCAGCTCTATCACAAAATCGGGACGCCCCAGCTCATTTTCTTGGGGGAGAGTATATTGGGTAGTAGACTTAGGGAATGAAGGATATGTGATCCATACAACCCGAGAACGGGAGCTGCTTAGCCACTCGGCCGAAGGGAACAGCTGGAGCCATAGATACTACTGATATCTACACCGATACTACCCTATTAAATGTTGCTTACATGGGCAGTTGCCAGGAATGTGTGTTTTTTGTTTTTTTGTAACGGAGGCTTCTTCCGTAAATGTGTGTAATGCATCGGTCATGATCGGTCCGAAGAGACACATGTTGCACGTCCGTACGTGGTGGAGGATCTTTGGGCCAATGAGGGGAGTCAAGATTTTTGTTTGTGTCTTCCAAGATGAACGCCGTTTATCGTTTATCTTTCCAAGAAAACACACATTGAGTTTGGATGATTGCTGTTGCTGCCACCGCAACCATTCATATCGCACGTTCGCATACTGTATCTACGTTCGCGAGACATGACTTCATGCTGGCATGGCCTGGAGATGTCATGCCAGTCATGCGCAAATGGATGGTCTTGAATGCGATTCCTTCTCGGATGAGCTTCCTGAGGTAGCAGCTGAGTTCGCAGAACTTTCCACATGAGTAAGATGAGTGACATGAGATCATCATCATCCTCTTCAAAATGTCTTGTTTGGAGACTCTTTTTTGAGCAAAGACACGTGTTTGATCTTTGATCTGGCCAGTTTTTGGCTTTACCGCCGTTCGGTGCAATGGCCATGGTGAAGGATAGCCATGGTGAAGGATAGCAGTCGGCCTTCCTCACTGCGAACGCACAAAGACGGTGTTGTCAAAGATAGCACAAAGAAGGATTGGGTTTCTTGGTTCTTCTTTTAATGGACGCAAGCAATTTCTTTGCTGTGCATAATCTATGACTTATAAAGGTTTGGTGGATAACTGAAGGGTGTATACCTGACATTACCTGGTTGGGTGACCTCTAGCTTGGACCAGCACGCGCCCCAAATAGGGCCAGCTGTCCTATCAAAACAGGGGTCGTGTTTGGGTTGTTTGTGTTTGTACAAATGTAAAACCACACTTGCCTGTTTGATACGGCCAGAAAGTCAGCGCGAAGCAAATGTGTTGCGTCTGCAGGCACTCTTCTAAAGTGTTTTCCAGAAATCATATTGAAGCGAGCAGGCAAGTAGCATCTGCTGTGAAACTCCATGCGACATCACTTTGAGCTGGGGGTGGGTCAACACCGGAGACCTTGTTTGACCAGAGACAAATGCACAGAATGGACTACTAACTAGGTCCACGGCGCATAGACGGCTGTGGGGTAATCAAGGATGGTCGTGGGGTAATCAAGTCCAAATATGCGTAATTCCATTTGGAATGATGTGAGCGACACTTCATCATTGGAATCATGGTGAATTCCATGCAGATTTGGATAAAATCAGAGTTTGGCTGAGGCGAAATGGTGATTTCGAAGCATGTTCGAAACTACGCAACTACTTTTGGCGTCGGACATGTGTGCGACTTTTTCACTCTTTACAGGAGCTCCTCCAAGCGGCGCAAGAACTGAGCCGGTGTGGCACAGGTCAAGCTTTGTCGCCAAGCCCACCCCACCCCACCCCAACCCATTCGCACACGTATAGTATCAACTTCACGTAGCAAGTGCAACCGAACGTTGACATGCCCCAGCCCACCCCACCCCACCCCACCCCATTCCCACACGTAGCACTGTAGAAAACGAAAAATCACCAACAATGCAAGAAAAGCCCACGGCCGTCTATGTGCCGTGGGCCAACCACTAAGGAGGTCAACCTACCCTGAGGTGGTTTGGGGATCCGGGTGCGTTTTGACCCATTGCCAACTAGCATCTGCGAAGCTTGGAGCACAAGACCACCTGACCTATCAAGCGTTGCAACCGCTTCGTCTCATGCGCCAGTGTCATGGAACGGTGGCGCGAAGGGTGCCCGACCGGGCACTTGTGTTGATGCCATCAAAGCGAGAATTCCCTAGAACCTGAATGACCTCTAGTTTGGACCACCAACCACTCAAAATCATGTGTTTTCCTATCAAAACAGAGGTCAAATGAGTTCTAGGTCCCTATAGTTTGAACTTTTAACACACAACCAGGACACCGTGGATAACAACGGACACTGGGGGTGATCTTGGTCGTTTTCCTCAGCCAAGGTCACGGACAAGCTGGCCAGCTCCTTCGGAAAGACCGGCAGCTTTAGCGTGCTGGTGGAAGCGGCAGACCAGACGCGGACGGAGTTCAAGGTGGGGCTCTAGCTGGAAGAACAACGAGGTTGAACTCTCCCTATAGGAGCTCCAGGCCCATATCCTCAGAAGGTGGCTCGACCCCCCCAACCCCCGCCCAACCATTTTCGAAACGGAGGTCGTTGGAGCCCGAACGGTTTTTTCCGGTCTCAGCGGGTGGCGCTCGGTCAGGGTTTTGGTCGGACGCGAGCGGCGGCTGAGCCGAAAGGACGAGCCGAAAGGACTGGCCGAACGGGTTTAAGGGGACATTTGTTTGATGCCATTTGCTATGCCCAGACACTCCATGTTTGTCATATATGCCGCCCCATTGACCCCTCAAACCACCCCAGTGTAGGCATATATGGCATACATGGAGTGTTTGGGATGGTTCTTAAAAACAGACCTATAGCACTTCCAATGGGCGCACCGTGGAGACCTATAAGTAGGGTAGGGTAGTCTATTGGGCACCCAGACAGGATGATCCTGGGAGGTATTGTACGTTCTAGAGGGCGTTTCCCGGAGGGACATGTTCGGTTCATCTCAGCCGGCCGTGTTTTCTGGAGGTCTCCTCGGTGATCTTGTCGTCTTGGTCTGAAGTCTTTGACAAGATGATGAACCACGACTTCAAGGAGCACACGCAAAGGCAAGTCGTCACCTGCATGCAGCTGGCCCGATGAGATGCAGTGGCCCCCCTTTTTGTCGGGAGCCGGCAAACACCTGCAGAACTGTGTCGGTGAATTATAATCGATTTTCTCGCTTGCAACAAAAACCTTTGCAAAGGGTTGACCATATTTGACAATGATGCTCATCGGAGGATCATTCAAGGGCGGAGCCGGATCAAGTAGGACCTCCTTGCAGGAAGTTTAAGATTCTACTGTGGTGTGTATGTGAGGGTTGGATGGGCCGTATATAGCCAAACCGCAAACTCGATGTCGGGCCCTTGAGGTCCGTGTTTCCGGATGCGTAGGGCGTAGGGCGGAAGCCATATCCTCTGAAAGCAGATCCGTTTCACCAGTTCATTTGGGAACTCTCCAACCTCAGATTCAAACTGTTTCTTTGTGTTGCAGGCTCGTTAGTTTGGCGAGTTTGAGATTTGCGCTTTGCCAAGGTCATCAAGGACTTCTTGGCATGGAGGCATTCTTGCACTTCCTGTACTCTGGCACTTTGGAAGTCGACCTGCAAACACTTGTGGAGGTCATGGTGATAGCTGATAAGTACCAGGTGAAAGAGCTCTCAAGCCATTGTTTCTGCCGTTTTGGACCCTGAACCCGGATGTGCACGTTGCTTCTTTGTTTGGCAGTATGTATTGCCATTTGGATTTGTGGGAGGGAGTCGGAGCCTTTTTCGAGCCCCAACTAGTTTTATTCTGTTGAAATTCATCCACTTTCACCAGATAAAACAACGGAACATGTTGTCGGGAGATGAGGCACAATCGGAAAGAACAGAGCAGTGGATCCGGAAGATTCTCAAGTCTCAAAGCACCCCAGAAAATGGGTACAAATTATATACACATTACAAGTACCTGCCATTGGTTGTTAGATGATGTTTTGGTGGTCGAGTCATGTCCCATTTTCAAATTACTTTCGAGTGTCCAGGTAGGTAGTACACTCCAACCGCCCTTGAAACATGTGGTGTGAGCTTCTATTTGCGGCAGGTATGTGTCCAAGCAAACCATCACAGAACGCTCCAATCTTCTATCCACAAAACTGCCAAGGCAGTCATGTTTTGAAGCTGCAACTCAGTGCAAAGACCGCTTGGGAAGTTCTCATGGCTGCAGACAGCTTTCAGCTGTCAGCTCTCCGGGAATCAGCCACGCATGCCATCCTCGTCGAAGCGAATACGGCATTGGAGGAACGACCGGCCGTGAGTGACGAGTTGTTGCACGACGTGCTGAGTTCTAACTTCCTGTGCATTTCCGATGAAGAGCTGCTGGATCTTCTCCTGAGGTGGAAGGAAGCTGAGGAAGGTTGCAGAAGCAAACTGGACCTCATCCAAAAGTACGTATGCTTGAAGAACGTTCCGGCAGAAAAGGTCAAAGCCATGGTGTTGATGCCCGAGCTCGGATTCTGTCAGTCTGTCAGATTGAAGAGAGTTCGCAGTGTGTATACCAATAATGTGCTTTATACTCTCAGGCTGCGCTGCGAGAAACAACATGGAGTCTTTTCTCAAAGGCTACTCCTTTCAAACTGGGTGAATGTCGTCCACAGTGGAGTATCTTTCTGGAGCCTAGCGAATGTGGCATCTCAGTTTGATGTCGAGACCGTGGAGGCAGGGAACTGGGTGGAATGGAAGTTCCCGCGATTTGCCGTGAAGCTCCGTGCCCTTGTGTTTCAATTTGCTGTGGAAGAAGGTACTCACTTCATCGTGTCATGTGGCAAGAGCAACCGAGGATCTATGGAAGAGGTGTTCCGTTCTGAGGAGCACGGTCAAATCTCTAAGGGCCAGGTCTGCCCGTGCGAATGCGATTTCGTGGCCAACAGTCTCAGGGTCCAAGTGACCTCTGGCACCTTCAACGTGTGCGGGTGTCAGTTTGAAGGATTTCTTCTATAAACGGCGCCCCACGCGCCGACGCGCCCTCGCCGACCCGCGGACGTCACGCGCGGATTGCCGCCGGCCCGGCCTCGGCCAGCCATGTTCGCCGGTCGTCGTGGGTCGATGGAGTTCCGATGCTCGGTTCGATCGAACCACGACCGCCATGGACTGCTGGACTGCCGAGTTTCACGGCCAGGGCTGGTGCCAGGGAGGTCTGTCTGGGGCAGGCATAGATGGCTCCTATGGCAGTCTCATGGGTCGTGTCTAGGAATTGATTCGGGTCCGGATCACGGATCATCGCCGGGGGGGGCGGTTCTGGATGCGCAGCCGGTTGTGGGTTGAGGGATTGCGCATGGGTGAATCCGTTCGCTGGCGTTTGGTTTCCACTTCCCCCTTCATCATGGATGGATGTCATGTTGTGGTCAATGTTGTACATAGAGAATGCATCCAGTTGGATTTGGACAAGCGAGCTGGTGTGGAGAACCCCTCTGATGGTAGAGCTCCAAATATAAAGAAAGACAACAACAATCAATAGAACGATTGTATAATCCATATTTTTTCAACCCAAAGACAACAAGAAAACCACTTGAATCACCCAGTTGAAACACTTCACTTCTGGCACCCAACACGACACGGACCTAGTATGATGTGACGATGGGACGTGGTGCAGCTTCTCTAAAAGTTCAGCGCTTCTCAGGGACCGAATAGACTGATCTCCGGCACTTTTTTTGGTCAGGTCAAGCAGTGCTTAGCTCCAAGCATAGGACCTCCGTAGATATCGCTCCATCAGACCCATCGTTCCGTTCACTTCCCTTCCGGGTGCTTTGTTTTCGGTGCTTTTTCAGAAGGTGACGTCTTTGTCAGAGCTGGGAGCGGTGACCTGGTCGGTGCCTTCTGGACGTTTTGGAAGGGTAAACGGTCAACGATTCCTTTACAGCGAAAATTCATGACAAGTCCATCACCGAAAACATCGGCTTAATATCGGTGATCTACTTGGCAGTGGACAGGTGCGTGTACATGGGCAAGTGCCTAGGATATACTTGCTGGATGTAGGTGTTTAGGTTACTTTCCTCAACATGGCCTCTAGGAGCTGTGATTCAACCAACATGCCCGATGATGACTAGAGAGCCTTCAGAAAGGTCTCCCAAAATACACAGGTGAAGACATATTAAGATTATTAAGACATGTATGGAGGAGGGTTCCTCTAGTGCTGGCGGAGGAACATTGGGAATGAGGGAGAACAAGTTGACTTTCCAAGAAAGATGTTTTTCCATCAGTCCTGAGAATAGTTTTGGCTTTAATTTGTGTTATGCATGATCTTCGGTCGCAGCTGGTTTTGGTATATTTGAGACTGGCCTAGACTAGAGTCCAATCGGCATGCCAGTCATGTGGCTGTAGCTAAAGCCATTATTGACCTCGATGATCTTGGATCCGATGTGCAGTTAAATTTGGTTGTCTTGATTTGCTCTTTCCCAACCAGCTTCCAGAGTGAGCACTTGATTTCTCCGACATCCACATGGGCTGCCTAAAGATGTTTATCTTACTTAAATGCCTTAAGTTTGGCCTTTGCCGTAGCGGCTTGACTGGTCTTGAGTACCACTGCTGGTCTTTTCCATTTGCTCAGCTTTTGGCTCTGCCTGTGGGGCCGCAGGACCAGGTCTCAGGCGTTCAAAGACCATGCGAGAGAGCCATGGTGAAGGAAAGCAGTCGCCGTTCCCCACTCCCAACACGCAAAGCAGCCGTTGTCAAAGATAGCAGGAAGAAGGAATGGGTTTCTTTGCGTTCATTGGCAGATGTCATTGTTTGGTTGCTTTGCATTGATCCACTGTTGGAGCAATAAAGTATTCGGAAAGGTTCGGTGGACATTTGAAGAGTGCACCCGAGTGTGTTGTTTGGAGGAGGTTCGCCAGAGATTTGCATAATAGGCTATCAGCAGGTACCATTCCCGGATTTTAAGACTATCCAGCGCAGGAATCACGTTCCAGTGAGAAGGCAATATTCTTTTCTGTAAGCATATGGCGTCTACATCATATTGAGATCCGTGACATTAGAGGCACACGTGCACTAGGCAACCTGTCTCATTTCCGAAACACAAACAAGCTTCACTCCTTCTAAGCCTTTGAATTTGGGAAAGAACATGCCATCGATCCGCGGACTGAGGATGGTTGTTCCACTTGACCGGCATATTTGATTTGGATGCTTAAAATTAACAAACCACATAATATGTTTATGTGTATTATATACAATGGATGATCTTCTCAGCTCCAAGGTCGCGGAGAAGCTCTCCACCTCCTTCGGCAAGACTGGCAGTTTTAGCGTGCTGGTGGAAGCTGCGGACAAGACACGCACGGAGTTCAAGGCGGGAGGTGTTTAAGATCAACCAGCCTTGAACAGCGCTTGTTATTTTTATACACTTTCCGAAGAAATCATGTCTTTTAGTCAGCAATTGTCGACCTCAATCCGGCTATTGTCTAAACGCAAGTCAAAGTCATGTTTAACGCAATCCAGACGCTGGGTTTCCACCATAGTGTTTCACACATTTGTATTTGTTGTTGAGATTCTTGCAACGGCAACTGGAAGTGTTGAACTGGGCCACCTCCCCAGGCGCCTACATAAATGACGTGTCTCCGTCCTCACCATACCTGAAACGGTACGGATCCTGGATCCCAAACGGGTGTGGCAGGGCCCAGATGCCCAATCAGAGGCCCAACCATTCCTGCGGATCCATCCGGATCGCCTTACTGCTAGGAGCAAAGAAGCTACTAGGGGCTCCGGGCCCAACATGTTCCTTTCATGGTGCCACTGGTCAGACATCGTGCTGGCGCGACCAGACATCGTGCTGGCGCTCAGCCTGACAGCCCGTGGTGTTTCGAAGGAATTCGCCCCAACTGGGCAACGAAGCCCTGTGAGAAGCCCAAAACTCCACGGTGTTTGATCCACATGATGTGAAGCACATAGGTACCTCCAGTCGTACCTCCGGTGAAGGTATTTGGCAGCATAGGCTCTCAGCACATCCCATGGATGCATTTCAGCTGTTAGGTAAGCCCCTTGTTTTTTTGCGGGCACATAGCTTTTTGAACTCCTGTTCCTGGCCTGGGGAAGGTGTTTCTTTTTCCAGGTTCCGAATCAGCAAAATCCACCCACAATACGGCACTGTGTGAACTTGGATTCTGGGAGTGTGTTGCAGAATTGCCCACGCATGCAAATCAGAATCAGCGCGCAGTTCTTTCCACCACATTTGCCTGTCCAAATTTTGAGGTATGCGCCTCTGAGTATGTTTCTTTGAGCTTGTAGTGATCCTCAAAGCCAAGAGCAGTTAACTATTATCCAAGTAAACTGGTTTGTTCGGTTCGGCGAGTTTTTGGATGTTTTTGGTTAATCTCGGCGGTTGATTTGGAGGTGTCCTCAGTGATCTTGTCTTCTTGGTCTGACGTCTTTGACAAGATGATGAACCACGACTTCAAGGAGCAGACGCAGAAGCAAGTTGCCGCTCGCATGTATTTGCCGCCGTGGGATGCAACAGCTGAACCTGAAGAAATGTGTTGGGTGCTGTTTTTTCCTTTGAGCAATGAACAGCTTGGAACATGATAAATGGGTCATCCTAATTTTGCCCAAGAGTCTCAGGACCTCAGGGGCGGGAGGCTTAAAAGCACAGAAATCGTTTGAGAATTGATTAGCTTGGAAACTCTCGAATTGACCTGCTGCTTCACGCGGTCTCTATAACATGTTCTTACTTTCCGGCATACCTCGTCTAACGATGTCTGAAACAGGGGACACAACAGCAGCAGCCTGTCCGAGCTTTGCACATGGGCTTCATGGAGCTCACGACATGGTGTCCGTTCGATCAACCACCAGAAAGCGTCCGTGAACTCGTCGTAGCGTCCGGATGGCTGCGTGGTTCGCAGATCACTCCAGAGTCGACCATATGACCACAGAGTCGACCACAGGTTCACAAGGACTTGGTATTTGGGCACCTTTGTGGTAAAGCCAAGGTCATCAAGGACTTCTCACTGCATGGCATGGAGGCCTTCTTGCGCTTCCTGTATTCCGGGACCTTGGATGCAGACGTTCAAACACTTGTGGAGGTCATGGTGATTGCTGACAAGTACCAGGTGAAAGAGCTATCAAGCCATTGTGACTGCGCAGCAACAAAGAGTCACGGTACGTGTGGTGGTGTGGCCAAGTGCGAGAGGTGGTTATCAGGACTCCTCATCCAACACATACTTGTTTTGCGACATGTACTTTGAACCTACTGTGCGTGTGTCTGTAAATTAATGTAAATGTTGGTATTGATGCAGGCTGATAGGTAGAAGCCGCATATGATATATGGATGAACAACAAGAGTGTCGTTCCTGATGTTCCTGAACCTTGGAACAACTTTGAACATATACATATCTGCATCTTCCAAGAGTGTCCTCTTTCAGTCTTTGCCACAGATGTAGACTTTTCACCAGAGGGACGTTTTGTGTTATACCGGCTGATTCAGATGGATTTGGTTTGTTTTGTTGTCCAGGTATCTATTATTAGAATCTATTAGAATTGATTAGATACGTATCTTATAATTACAAATGTTCATTCTGTGTTCCGCAGTTGCATATCGAGGTTCTTAATGTGGATGTGAATTGGAGATGTTGCAGCCTCCGGTCTCATAAGTGCCAAAGCTACAGCGCGCAATTTCCTGCAAATTTACAGGACAACACCTCGTGTTGTCGAGAGGCCAATGCCAGGAAAGTGCTTCTACATGAAACCATCAGAGCTGCCTGAAATGCTTCACATATCTGCCAATTCATTCCCGTTCGGTGCTGTTGCTTAATATCTTCGCTATATATAGCATAGATCGATATAATCAATTGAGGAGGAGCTGTGGCCCAACCTAGATTTATTTTGGTGTGTTGGTGTGGCGAATCAACCACCCAAGGCTATAATGTTCTGAACGAGCAGATGAACGAGAAGGCTGTTTGGGACATCGTCAAGGCTTCCGACAAGTTTCATCGCGAAGATCTTCGGAGCGCAGCAATCAACCAAATCCTCATCCAACCGAAGATGGTTTTGCAGGAACGGCCGCCTGCGAGCGACGAACTTTTGCAGGAAGTGCTCGGTTCCGACTTCTTGTGCCTTTCCGATGAGGAGTTGCTGGATCTTCTCATCATGTGGGAGGATGCGGATGAAGGTTGTATGAGCAAGTTTGATCTAATTGCAAAGCACGTTCGTTTGGAGAAGGTTCCGGCCGAAAAGATCAAATCCATGGTGTTGATGCCCGAGTTCGGATTCTGCAAGCCTTTCAAAACAAAGACCATTCGCAGTGAATACACTGACGATGTGCTTTGCAGTCTGAAGGAGCGGTGTAAGAGTCAACATGGAGAGGAATGGGACGAAGTCTTCCTCTCTGACTGGGTGAATATTATCCACACTGAAGGCGCCATCAGTGATGATGTTGATTTAGTGGAGTTAGCTTATCAGTGCGATCAATGCGAGCTGGAAGCAGGGAACTGGGTGGAGTGGAGGTTTCCTCTCTTTGCAGTCAAGCTCCTGGGCATCTCGATAAACGAAGGCGCAGAAGTGGCGGAAGGTACTCACTTCATCGTGTCATGTGAAAAGAAGGGCAGCCCAGGCAGTATGCAAGAGGTTTTCCGTTCTGAGGAGCACGGTCAAATCTTTGCAGAACAGTCCTTCCCATGCCAATGTGATTTCGTTGCCAACTGTTTCAGGGTCGAGGTGACCTTTGGCACTCTTGACGTGTGCTGCTTTACTTTTGAAGGATTTCTTCTAGATGATGAAGATTGAATCAGTGCGGCCACACACAGCCAAGTGTTCGGACGCGGGTGACCGTCTTTTCATTGGAAGAGTCTGAATTTATTCCGCATCATAGGCTTTGCCGTCGGCGCCCTTCAAAGATCATATCCTGAACGACTTACAACAACTCAGCTCATTTGAGCGTTTGACGAAGATTCACGAGTGGCATCTGACGGTGGACCTGCGCGAAAAAGATGTTGGTTCGTGCGCGGAGCAACCTGCCAGCCAGGCTAGAAGGACAGAGGTTCCTTCTGAACAGGAGGGTCGGTCGAACTGCTGGTCCACTGCCGGGTCTCCCTGTTTTAAATATGCACCACCTGGTATTGTAGATCCTCCCAAGGTCGGCGCCGGACTCCGGGCGAAACGGTGTTCGGTGTTCGCAGGCTGTTCAGATCCACACGTTTTGGCTTCGGTTGAGCCTTCGGGAGAGCTCATGAGGGTGCAAATACTGAGGAGGTACACCAGGAGCCCCAAAAAGGGTTAGTCAAGAGTACGACGTTGCTTGCAACAATGACTTCTAGAAGCACCGGGCAAAGCAGCCACCCGCAAAGAAAGTCAAGAAATGGACGCGACGCTGGAAGTTTAAAAGGTGCTCCGGCAACAGGATCTTCCAAGAATTATAGTGATCCCCAAATAGATAGAAATGGTGTCCAATACATGTTTAGTGATGTTTAGTGGGAATCTACTTTTCTATCTATTTGGGTATATATTAATCTTGTGAAAGGGCATGAGCTTCATGGAATCCGTGCAGGCATGAGTGCAGCATGAATTTCCCCGCTGCTTTTCTCAAAAGGCCTGACAGCCATAAACTGCGCTACGCTATCCGCCATAGCCGGAAAAGCATTGCTTTGCGGGCAGCCTGCGTTCTGTCCGCTACAGTGGCACCGGAGCTGGCGATCCTTGTTGGCCTTTGGTTGCTTCGTGCGGCAAGCGCCGCTGCTGTCCGCTGCGCCTCCGAGATCCTTTTGCATCTAAGGACACACTCCTTCCGGACTTCCTGCTGGGTGGCTTGCTACCTTCTCCTGGCAGAGATCACTGCGGAGGAGGGTGTGCTCCTGCCTGGACCTCGCCTACTGCTCTTCTCTGGCAGGCGCCGGAGGAATCGCTGTCGGTGGTGGTTCGAATTCGTTCTTTTGCCACTTGCCCCTTAGTGTTTGAAGAGCTGGTTTCTACTTCACGAACGGCTACCTCATTGTCGACTTTGCCAAAGGCACGATGTCGGATGAGAAGGATGGCAATGGTGGCGCTTGGTCCCGCGTACCCACGTGGGATGGATCGCCACAGTCGTGGCGAGCGTTCAAGCGGGAAATGGCTTGGTGGTGTTCAGCTTTGGACCTCGCCTCAACCACCAAGTACAACCTAGCAGCTCGATGGCTTCTACGCCAAAGTGGTGTGGTGAGGCAACGTGGAGAAGAATTTACACCACAAGAGCTGCAGCATCAGCCTGAGATCACGGCCGAGGACCCGGTTTCCAAGGAGCAGGTTGTGATCACGCCGGCCAATCCTTTGGCCGGTATTGAGAAGTTGATGTCCGCCCTTGAGGAGATCAACGGCAAGACAACGCTGGACAAGCGTGGAGAGCTGCGCAATCAGTTCTATCTTGAACTGCGCCGCCGGCCTGGAGAGAGGATTGCTGAGTTCAGCACCAGGTTCAGGACGATGGTTTCTGACCTTCGAACCGAAGGTGTGAATCTCCCCTCTGGAGAAGTTGGATGGTTCTACAAGTCCAAGCTTGGACTCGATGCTCTTCGCACCCAGTTGTTGGAGACGGCCCTCAATGGAGTTGAAGATTATGAGAGCATCGAACGAGAGGTTCTCCGCCTCTTCAAGGACCTCCATGCTCAAGATCCCCTTCGAACCAGGACCTTTGGTGGCAATGATGAGAGACCACCATTGCTGAAGTGCTTCCTCTCACAGTAAGAGCAACAGAATGCTGGCAGCCCCAGTCGAGCTTCGTCGTATGCACCCTCTATGACTAGCTCAGCTCCCAGGTCTATGAGGTCTTCATCGTCTACTGCCACGTCTCGTGCCAGCACCTACAGGTTTCAGAAGCCTTTCTATGGACCTCCCAAGCAGGCCATGGTGTCTGAGGTGGAGATCGAAGGTGATCCTGAAGATGATGATGAGCTGGTGGCCGATGGTGGCGATCAGCCTGCGACTTCATTGGATGAGGTCCTCCAGATGGAAGCTGAAGGGCTAGCTCAAGAGCTGGAGGAGGCTGCTGAATGTGGCTTGGACTCCGATACCCTCCAGCAAGTTGAAGAGTCAGTTGAAGGTGCTGCGGAAGCTCTCCTCACCATGAGGGAAGCCAAGGTCAAGTTGCAGGAGGTGAAGAAGGACCGTGGCTATGGCCGAGCGACTCCGGCCGATCAGAAGGGCAAGATGAATCCCAAGAAGCAGTCCTCGAAGCACCCATGCTTTGACTGCGGACTCCCGGGGCACTGGGCCGGTGACCCTGAGTGTTCAAAGCCCGGTCAGGGCTTGGGCAGGAAGAACAAGCCGGTCAAGCAGGTGAAGGTCACCGAAGCTATGAATGTCGAAGTTGGACCACCTGCTGCAGATCCCGGCAACGAAGTGCTGATGGCTGGCACAGAAGGCCATGAGGTCTTGGTGACTGGAACTTTTCCCATGTCCAATGAGTTCCTGGCAGCTTTTGAGCAATCTCACCTCCATCCACAAGAGGTGAATGTCGCTGGCAAGCTCGCTGCTGACAAAATGCTGGTCGGCGCTTTGGATTCGGCATGCAATAGGACCTGCACTGGTACCGAGTGGTTGAACACCTACCTCCGTTGCCTTCGAACTGCCCCTCAACATGTTCGAGATTTGGTCAAGTCCCACAAGGAGTATGAGACCTTTAAGTTTGGCAATGGTGGCACCCAGGTCAGTGTTGCACGATGGCGCCTCCCCATGCAGCTGGATGGATCGGTGGTTTGTTTTTGGACTTCCTTAGTGCCGGTTCCTTCACTTGGTTTGCTTTTGGGAAGGGACTTCTTGGAGGCCATTGGAGCTGACATGCATTTTGCCCACCGAACCCTTCGTTGCGAGACCATCACCGGGAAGCCGATCCCTTTGAAGCAATTGGCTGCAGGTCGCTTCCTGCTGCCCCTGGCGCCTGGAGCCTGGCCAGGTGTGGAACCTCGGAGATGGAAGAAGTTGGGTGTTGATGGTGTTTTGGAGCTTCAATTGAATCCTGTTCAATGGCTTAGCAAGAAGTTGTCCTTGTGCACCGCATCCATGAAGAGCAGGCCTCATGACCACCTTCTCACGGAGAGCAGTGTCCAGTTTGGGCACCTGGTGTGTGCAGTTTCTCGCTCGACCGATGCTTTTGGCTCTCCGGTTCAAGCTTCAGGTGATTCCATGTCGGTTGGATTGGCTTCACCTTCAAATTCGAGCTCCTCTTCACGGCAGACTTCATCGATCCATGTTCGGCCAATGGATGACCGCAGGAGACCCGACAAGGGACGAGACAAAGCCCATGGACGTGAACACCGGAAGATGGAGGCGGATGTACATCCGCATGGGAGAAAGGTTTCGTTGGGCAGCAAAAGGTTTGCTCCTGTGGCTTTTGCAAAGGCCTTACTTGCGATTGCTGCCGTTTCCCTATCCCTCCACGACAATGGCAACGGCTTGGACAGCTCAAGTTCGACGGCAGGTTACCGATGGAACCATCCCCAAAAGAGTGCTCAAGAAGTGCCTGGAGGACAACCTCTTCACGATGGTCAACCTCAGCGAATGCCGTCACCTTCGAAACAGGCTCGGCTTGCGCACCTCATTCATCGAGGACCCAATGCTCCTTGGCATGATGGCTGCCCAGACTCAGAAGGGCATCACTTCCAAGCTTCGAGCCGCAGTTCAGAAGGAGGCAAAAGAGCTGGCTTCGAAGGCCGAGGCCGATGGACGACGGGAGGAGGAAGCAAGGACTTTGATCGGTCCTCGAGGAGGTCTGCCCTCTCTCAGAGCAGATCTGGTGAAGTTGGCGGCGCTTCTGCATGTCGAGCTTGGCGAGAAAGACTCAGTGGCCACGATCAAAGAGAAGGTGAAACCGATGATTGCAGTGCTCAAGGCAAAACCTTCCGTGGCTCCTCGTCTTCAGCCCAAGACAGAAGAAGCCGCATCAGCAAGCTCATCAGTCACTCCTACGAGGCTCTTCAAGGACAAGCCCTCGGACATGGCAGTTCAGCAGCAGGAGATGCGCATGATGATGGAGCAAATGCATCAGGAGATGGTTCGTCTTCGAGCTCAGGTCGAGAACTCGGGCATGGAGGTGGACACCGAGCCAAGTCTGGTTCCGGACTCTCCGGACTCGGGCTCTCCCGTGAACTTCACCGAGGAGGAGATCAGAGAGCTGAATGGGCAGGCATACGACGATCTCTACGGAGCGACTTTGACAGCTCAGTACGGGGACGAGATTCCAGTACACATCTCTCAGGAGATCAGTCTCGGTCTGCGCAGTCCTCGAGGGACCTGAGCGATGCCAATGAGTTCAGGATCCACCAGGATGTCAAGAAGGGCCAAGCTCAGATGATTGCGCAGGCATGGCTCCAACATGAACAAGATCGCAAGAAGGTGTCGCAAGCGCCCAAGCGCATGAGAGAAATGATGATTTGTGCTCATGAGCAGGAGATGTTGGACTTCATGACTGAAGAAATCTTTGTCCAGCCCTTTGATCTGTCTCTTCCGTATGACAAGGTTTCTGATGGTTTTGAGGCCCTCCAGAATGAGCACGTCCCAAGGAATGTCTTGCTGACGAAGAATGGCAAGCCTCCTGACAAGAATGCGCCCCTCGTGTCCGAGATCTACACGACTGCACAGAATGTGATGAAAGAAGCTGAGAGAAGAGGACACAAGGTGGGTTCCGCTATGTCTTTGGAAAATGGCTGGAACTTCTTGCTCGCTGAACATCGACATCGAGCCCTTCAAGTGCTGGATGAGGAAAAACCCTACTGCGTGGTGTTGGCCTTTCCCTGTGGACCATGGAGCCCGCTCCAGTTTTTGAATGCCAAGGGCAATGCAACCTTGGACCAGAGGAGAGCGGATGGAATGGTGTTGATGGAATTTGCCATAGAAGTGGCAAAGCACCAGATGGCAGGAGGTCGGCACTTTGTGATGGAGAATCCTCTTCCCAGTTTGGCATGGAAGACATTGCCCATGCAGAAGTTCATTGAAGAGAACAATGTGGAAATTGCCACCTTCGACCAATGCCGGTTCAACCTTCGCAGCCTCCTAGGTGAGTTGCACAAGAAGCCGACTCAAATGGTGAGTTCAAGCCCAAGAGTGATTGCTTTGTTGCATGGCCTCCGTTGCAAGCGTGACCACAGCCATGCTCCTGTTCTTGGCGGCTCCAAGATCACCGCCCATGCGGGCATCTACCCGAAGCCTTTGGCACGCGCCTTGGTTTCTGGAATCATGGAGCAGTTCGACTTGGACTTCCAGCCCAATGAGACGATGGCAGCTCAGGTGGGAGATGAGGAGGATGGTGCTGGTGATGGCCTGTTGGCCTTGGGAGAAGAGGTGATTTCTGAAGATGAAGAACTTGATGGCCCAGTTGATCCAAGCTTGAAGATCACTCCTTCATTGAAGAACGCCATCAAGCGGCTGCATGAAAACACTGGCCATCGAAGCAACAAACGGTTGGCCAGAGCCCTAGCTGTTGCTGGAGCCCCTGTGGAGGCCATTGCTGCTGCAAAATCTCACAAGTGCTCGCTTTGTCAAGAGCGTGCTCAACCCAAGACAAGACGTCCTGCAGCACTGCCGACTCCAAAAGATGTGTCCGATCAGGTACACGTTGACTTGATCGAGATGGAGGACTGTGCTGAAAGGCGTTTCTACATCGCCCATGCCACGGACTTTGCAACCAGGTTCCAGGTGGCTGAAGTTTTGCCCAACAAGTCCTCCAAAGCGGTGATCAACTTCCTGTCTTCCAGGTGGGTGGCCATGTTTGGAGCACCGCGTGTTTTGGTGGCAGACCAGGGCAGAGAATTTGTAAGTTGGGAGATGGAAGAATGGGCAAGCTCAGTTTCCACGATGTTGCACCACATTGCCGTACAGGCACCTTGGCAAAACGGTGTCGCAGAGAGATCAGGAAGTGCCCTGAAGGCGATCCTCACTGCCGTGGTGAAAGCTCATTCAGTGATTGGAGAAGAAGAACTACAGCAAGCTTTGTCTGAAGCCCTGGCTGCTTACAACCAGGACGTGAATGACAGCGGCTTCTCTCCCTACCAGGCCGTGTTCGGCCGACAGCCACGTATGGTTGGTGACACTTTGGGCAGCATCGAATCTCGGTTGGCTGAGCACTCCCTCATTGATGGCCGGACGCAGCATGCTCGACTTGTGGCGCTCCGAGAGACAGCCAAGGTGGCTATGATGAGGCTGCACTATAGCAAAGGACTTCGTCGTGCAGAACTCGCACGGAGCCGCAGCTCTACATTGGAGCAAGTTCCTACTCCTGGCACGATATGCTACTTCTATCGTCCGTTGCGCTTCAACAACAAGACCAGCCCTAGTCGCAAGAGGCTCACGCTCAAACGATGGCATGGCCCTGCTCTTTTGGTGGCTACAGAAGGCCATAGCAGTGCATTTTTGTCCTACAAGGGCCAATTGACAAAAGCTGCAATGGAGCATGTTCGTGTTGCCAGTGGCCTTGAACAGATTGCCGCTGGAAGCTGGAGAGATGCTATTGAGGAAGTGGTTGAAGCAGCACAGCATGACCTGACGTTGCGAGGCCTTCCAGAGGCATTGCCGCCTGTTCCAGAGGACCCTCAAGAAGGTGATGTACCTGTTCCTATGACTCCGGCGCTTCGACCTCCGATGGCTCCAATTGCTCCTGAGCCAGGTGCTGATTTGCCCCCTGTGCAACCTCGAGAGTTGGTTCAAGTTGCTCAACAAGCTCCTCCTCTACCTTCGGTGGTTGGTGACTCTGTTTTGCCTTCGAGGAGAATGAGCGATGTGTCTGGACCTGTCCCTGGTTCACCTGTGCCTGAGTTGATTAGGCGCGCTGGCACTGGAAGCATTTTGGCTCGTCAGATTGCCCAAGCTCGTGAAGCCAGTGAAGAACTTGGTGGCGTGAAGCGCCCTGCTGAAGTTGGCACAGAAGAGTTGGCCGATGAAGCACGTTCTCGTCCTTCCGCCCCTTCTGCCGCTCATGAGTCTATGACAGTGGCTTGCGAGAAGTCTGAGGCATGTGAGAAGGCTGGAGAAGATTTGATGAAGCAGTTCAATGATCCCACGGAGCATCCACTGCGTGTAATAGCGGCATTGGCTGAGAAAGATAAACTACAACCTCTTGATGCAGCAGTACAAGATCATGGCTCTTGGGGTGGACGTTGGCACCTCCCTTCCCGTTCGGAATGGCAGCTGCATCACAAGCTTGGTTGGTCTTGGCCTAATGGGTCTACAGAAACTGAGGTGATGTTGGCCAGTGCTGCGCACAAAGAGCTGTTTTGGAAGAACATGACGCCCGAAGAGAAGAAGGCCTTCCACATTGCGGCCAAGGATGCATGGGCAGGTTTGGGAAGACAACCAGGCCGTGGAGGTTCTCTCGATCCCCGAGTCTGAGGCGATTCGCAGCAGGCTTCGAATGAACAAAGAAGTGGGGAAGATTCTGACGCCTCGCTTTGTGTTCACAGACAAGCACAGTGGACTCCGTACTGCTGAGCGACCTCTACCGCTCAAGGCTCGAGCTCGCGTGGTGGTTCCTGGTTTTCGAGATGTCCTTTCCTTTGCCATTCGCAAAGATGCTCCTACTGGTTCTCGCCTCAGCCAACACATGCTCTTCATTTTGACAGCCAGCAACAACAAGGCCGTCAAGGGTGAGAAGAATGCTTGGCGCCTAGTCAGCGCTGATGTCAAGAGCGCCTTCTTGAAGGGTGATCCCTACATGGCTGGAGACAGAGAGCTCTACATGGAGAATATGAAGGACAGCGAAACCTCTGATGCTCCAGGCCTTCCTTTTGGCCGTGCACTGGTGAAGATCAGGAAAGGAGTTTTTGGTCTTGCAGATGCCCCTCGTCAATGGTACTTGCGCCTCAACCGTGCCCTGCTGGAACAAGGTTGGGAGAGGTCCTCATTGGACTATGCTTGTTGGCTTTTGTGGTCCAACGACAAGACCACTCTGGATGGAGTGATCATCTCTCACGTTGATGATCTTCTTCTAGGAGGAGGACCTCGAGCTCAAGCATTGCTGCAAGATTTGGGCAAGCTTCTTGGCTTTGGAAGTGTGGAGTATGACGACTTCACCTACTGTGGCAAGAGGATCCGACAGCATGAAGAGGATGGATCAATTTCCATCTCTATCTCTATGGTTGAGTACCACTCCAACCTCAAGCCCGTGGCGATCCCTGTGCATCGCAGAGCTCAGGCTGCCTCAGAGTTGAATGATGGTGAACGCCGTCAACTCAGGGCGATCCTTGGAAGCCTTCAGTGGCTGTTGGCTCAGCTGCGGTTCGACCTTGCCTACCACCTCAGCGTGTTGCAGGGTGAAAAGCCTGTCATCATGACGTTGATGAAGGCCAACGCGCTTCTCAAGCGCTTCAAGAAGCACTCCCAGTTCGAGCTCAGGTTCCGACCACTTCGGTTGGACAGGTGTGGCATCATGGTTGTGACCGACTCGTCGCTTGGCAATGTGACCAAGGAAGGTGTGGACCATGGCAGCGTGTTGGAGAAGATTTACTCCCAAAGCTGCTACTATGTGCTCGTGGCTGACAGCGATTTGCTTGCTGGACGCGAGGGCAGCTTCTGTGTCTTGGACTCCCGCAGCCATCGATTGAGCAGAGTTTGCCGCTCGACATTCGCAGCCGAACTCCTTGGAGCAGAAGAAGGACTTGATGCAGGAATGTTCTGCAGAGGGCTGCTTGCAATGTTCAAAGGATTTCCCATCCATGGCAATGATGGCAAGATGCCCGATGAGGTGCTGGACTCCATCCCGCTCGTGCAGATCACCGATGCCAAAGACCTGTACGACAAAGGGAATTCAGACACGGCTACCTATGGAGCCCAGAAGTCCTTGGGATTCACCATTGGTTGGGTGCGTGCCACTTTAGCTCGAGCAGCTACATCCTTGAAGTGGACAAGTACAGACAACATGTTTGTTGACTGCGGCACGAAGGATATGGATGAGAGCTACCTCCATCGCATCCTTGCAGCTGGACGCTGGTGCTACACCTACAACCAGGAGTATGTGAAGCAAGGCAAGTCTGGAAAGAAGCAGCTTCCTCTGAGTGCAACTGCAAATGCTCTTGATGGTGAGCCGCTGGACGTGTCCTTGCCGATTGCGGCCTTCCTCCAGCAGCTGTCTGAGAGCCCGGGTTGGCACCACAAAGATGGTGTTGTGACTCATGTTGCCCACAATGCCAGGTCCTTTAGGAACCCCAGTGGGAGATACTCAATTAACCAATTTCCCCTCAGGACAACGTATGCCAGATACGATTTGGATTCAGGAATCTCCTGTTGGCGAGTCCTGGAGGACCGTGTGAAGATGTCCGATTTGTCGAACAAGCAAGCGTTGCTTGGACAGCCTGCCCGCATTTTGGTCACAGTATTTTCGGCTTCCCATGAACAAAGAAAGGAGAAGTCGCTGTGAAAGGGCATGAGCTTCATGGAATCCGTGCAGGCATGAGTGCAGCATGAATTTCCCCGCTGCTTTTCTCAAAAGGCCTGACAGCCATAAACTGCGCTACGCTATCCGCCATAGCCGGAAAAGCATTGCTTTGCGGGCAGCCTGCGTTCTGTCCGCTACAAATCTATAGCTAAAACCAAAGAACCCATTTGTTTCATCATCAATGCTCAAACAGAGCGCGTGCCAAACATTGGCAGGTGTTCCTGCGCAGCAGGCGTGGGGGAATTCGCTTGCGATGGTCTTTTGGGAGGTTCCAGTGCAAAGTGATCCCTTTTAAGGGCTCGTCATGTAGGGTCTGTTCCATTATGAAATTTACAGCTTGAAAAACTCGTATATCACTCTTTGTGAGATGTCGGCCTGCATCCTGACCTTCATCTTCCACTGGTCCCTGCGAGGTTGGGATAAACCCAAGGCTCATGGCAAGTCATCATGTGCGCTTCTGCTCCTCCAGAAGCTTCAGAACTCGCACCTTTTGGGTGGAAGTGTTGGAATGCTGATGAATGTTGATTTTATGGGGAACAGAACGGACATACATAAATAGCCGATTGCTGGAACTACTATCGATCCATATAGATTGTATATGAATTCTCGGGAGGGCTGCCCCAGGCAGCCTTTGCGCCTGGGAGGTGTGATGTACTTGCTCAGTTTGGCTCAGTCTGGCCCAGTTTTACATCCTTAAACAGTGTTTTTTGTATCTGTATGACCAACTCCAGTAAGCTCATCGACTTGTCCGGGTATCTGTGAATGGCGCCATCTGTTTGGTGTTCGGAAAATGGTCGTGCTTGGTAGGGGGCCAGGCCATCCACGTGACTCACTTAACCAATAACCATGATTGACTTCAGGGAGTGTGGATGTTTGTTTGCCGATGCACATATTTCATGGATCAATTCATTTGGTTGAGATCAGTGCACTCCTGCCATTATTGTGGACAGGTGCAAGATTGCTTCCCCCCCATGTGTTCATGTCCATTCCTACTTCAAACTCGCCGGTTCTGTGGGACCAGTCTCCGTGCCGTAAGAATGCAATCTTGCCTTCTGGGGAGTCCACGTGAGGGAAGATCCTTGCAAGGAGGCACTGGAACCCAGCTCAGCCTTTTATGGCCTTTATAGACAGCTATGGCCTCACCATTGGGGGATTGGTCAACAAGGGTCACTCTGGTGCTAGAAACAACCATGAATATAGAAGATTCTAACTGAGATTGTTCATCTAAAAATTGACCCATTTCATCCAAATTCTATGGTTTCACTTGAAACCATCAACCACTTAGATGCTTGGGTACAATCTGATCTCCACCCTCCGGTTCCCGTCGTTGGCTCCAGCGGTTCCGCGCGTGGCGTCGCCTCGCCCGCCGCGCCCGCCGCGCCCGCGCCCGCGCCGCGCCCGGGCCGCGCCGAGCGGCCTTTGTTGCCATGGTGCAGGATGAGACGAAGAAGGAATGGGCGACTGGGACCGAAGCCCCCCCAAAACAAGCAATAGGTAAAGCAACGAAGGGAATGAGCGACGGAGCGACTGGGAAGGAGCGACTGGAGCGAGACGGCGTATTGAACAACGATCAGCAGAGACCATGCAGACGGAAAAACCGACAGGTCAAATGGACGGATAAGGGGGCATCTTGACTACAACATATCTACAACCCCAAAATGGAATTACAACAAACATACTAAGTTAACATACTACAACCCCAACATACTACAACATCGAGAATGTTTGGCGTTGTTTGGACGGTGAACAGATCGATGTGTGTGGATCGATGTTGAACAGAGCACCGGCTCGGCTCATCGGGAGTCTTGCTTCGCCATGTCGCTCACCGGGGTCGCAGACTCGCAGACACGGGGTATGACACCGTCCGACAGAGGGAGGGAAGGTAGAGGGCGTCGCATGCGACACGGACTCAGTGCCGTTGAGTCCCTAGGGCTCCAACCATCTCCTCAGAAGGTGGTTAGACCCCCAAAACCCACCCCAACCACCTTCTCAGGAGATGGTTGGAGCCCTAGGGAGTTGTCGTTGTCCACCACAACGGGTCCAGGAAAGAACTCCCCCGACTTCGGGTCCACCTGCTGAGGACGGTCGTGGCCGGAGGTGAGTCAGTACGTACTTCCACCAGGTCGAATGGTCGTTGCTCGGGGGGGGTCGGTCAAAGGACGTCCTGAATCGACACATCGATGCGTGACGACAGATGGTTTCTGACACGTGAAGTTTTCGGAGTCTATGTTGATCTGAAGGGTGTGTACTCTACCCCTTCTAACTGCTATCGTCAACATCATTGATTTTTCCCTGCAAAGTGAGAGACACATCACACATCCCACTCCGATCTTGTGCCCATCGAGCTACACATTTTGGAGTTTTCGTTTTAGAGTTTCTCAAGTCACAAGCATGTTGGGACCTGGCATTTGAAATGTCATAGACCTGATTCTCAAGTTTTGAGGAGCTCATGAGTTGAATCGAATCTGACTTGGTCCTCAAGTCGTACAAACCATATAGTACTCGTGCAAACCATTTGTCCATTTCTTTCCAACCCTCTCTCTATGCTCTAACCAACCATCAATTATAGAGATATCTCCGATTGTTTTTCATCCAACAGACCGAGTCTTTCTCAACAGACCGAGTCTTACCTACAAGTCCTTCCTTCTTTGGTACTTTTCTGACCAGCCCAGGTGGCGGACAGGCTCGCGGCGTCCGAAGCGGACGCTCGTTCGGCAGCTTCACGGTGGTGGTGGAAGGTCACTCAGATCGTTGGTACCGCAGCGAGTTCAAGGCGAGGTGGAGAAGGATTTTGGACTGGCTGTACACGACGTGTTGCTGCACCTCAGTTCTTGGAACATGGCAAGGGCACAAATCAAGTGTTTCAACCAAGAAACTTCCCCTGCACTGATCCGATTCTTTATATGGTCATCATGGTCTATGTTTCTCATCACTATTTGGGAATCTGGAGATGGTGATTCCTTTGATACAATGTATTGTGGGAGGAACGGACATGACCCCACGCCAAGCCTTGGGGCATGCCATATACCCAGCCCTCCTTTGGGATGGTCAGAAGAACGTAGGAGCCCAGCTCGTTGTTCATCAATGCGTTCAGTCAATATCGTGGGCTATACCTATACAACAAAGCCCACAATATACGGCTGAGAATATTATGAATCAACAGGATGATGAAGAGCAACTTAACACCAATAGAGGGTTTTGCAATAAATGCCTTTGTATTGTGAGTGTTAGGCAGGTGAATTGGTCGGGAGGTGCAAAGTAGAGGTCAGAGTCATCCAGCAAGCTTCCCAAGATAAGAGCATAAGAAAGGAACAGACTAATTTCCGGCCCAAGGGCTTGTTTAAAGTTTTCTAGGGGGGCAAATTATAACCAGAGTATTGGTAGTAAAAGGAATTCATCCTGTTTGGCTAAGGTTCTTGTCTGTGGAATCCCTGAACTTTTGTTGATTCAACACACAAATCTGAAGTCCAATGAATATCAACAAATATTCTATGCCAGGAGTCACAAAGGGGTGCGTATTGGAGGATAGGGTGCTCACTATCCACTTACTTAGGGCCTAAAAAACACCCCTGTTTGACTTCTGGTGTTTGTTAAAATCTTTGGATACACAAAGACCGACCTGTATGTCAATCAATGGACCAAGCTCTTTTTCAGCTGATCACTTCGACTCCGACCTATTATGCTGCTGGTCAGAGGGTGGGCTTTCCCTCAGTCCGTTGCAGGTCTCAGCTGAGATCCTGTGCGCGTGGTCAGAGGTCTTTCGGAAGATCATGGGCTACGAGTTCGAGGAGCAGTCAACAGGACCAGTTGTGGCTCGCTCGCGCGCTTGGTCAACGGTCCATCCACGTCGGTGAGAGGTCCATGGTGGGGGGGCAAACGGTGTCAGCGGGCCAGCAGTTGATCACCACCAGGCGTTTGGAGTTGTTTATGTTATTGTTTATGTTTACTTTTTCGCTTGTCGCCGACTGTCGCCTGTTTTGCCTCGAGTCGTCTGAAGAATTTCCTAAGGGGTTTTGTACAGTAGGATACAATCAAACACAGGTAGTTCATGCATCTCGACCCTAAGATTCATGTTCTTTGGTGCTGTTGTGTATGGTAAATTTAACACTTGGATTCAGAAATCCCAATGCCAATGCTACTCATGCCCGCTGCTAGCATGACACGTGTCGAACAGTTACCAAGCAATGTTGCTTGCAAGTTAGGCCCAATTATTTTGGATGGAAGACATGCTAGTACATGTCATTTGGCCAGCATTGTGGACACATTGGTTACCATATAGACCGGCTTGACACCAACGGGCCCAGGTCATTCATGATTTCTCACCGCAGGGAGTGGAGGCGTTCTTGCGTTGCCGAGACTGTTTTAAGGTGTTTTGTTCATTTTTGTTGCGTTTGGCCAGACTATGCCATGCTGGAAATTCCATGGCAGAACTTCAGAACATGTTTGGTTTGATGTCCATGAGAGAGTCCAAGGTTTTCTGTATTCCGGAACCTTGAATGCAGAACTGGAAACTCTGGCAGAAGTGATGATCATCGCAGAGAAATACCAGGTAGTAGAGCTCTCGATGCACTGTGTCCTGGCACTGACGATCATTCATGGGACTGTGATTGGCCCTCAACTAACCAAGGCCCACAGGCTGCAGTATGTGGTTTTGACCCAGATGGTTCTTCCAAGTGACCAAACTGTGATCCCCCGGTTTGTGGATTATGGTTTAGCATAAAGATTGCAAACTGAATAATTAAGCATGACTCACACATTCGGTCTGAGCTTCAACAGCTGATCTAAAGCACTGCGAACTGTAGGGCAGGGCTGCATGTGGTTTCGTCAGGAAAAAGAGAACCTCGTTATGTGAGCTGACCTTTTTCGGTTGTGAAGCCACCCGTGTCAAAGAGGGACATTCTGGTTGAAGAGGCGGTCATGGGTTCATGGGGTGAATGGGTTTGCCGCTTCAAAACCAGCTGGAAGGGTTTAATATGTTTCCCTCAGGCTCAAAAGGTATGCAAGACCCTGCAACTACGGCCTCACCCATGCATCAAGAGGTCGAACCACCTTCACTGGTGGAATCCTGGTGACGACTAGGTGTCATAAGGATTGAATCCTCGGCACATGCGATGCCCAGGTCTTGATCTCCTGAAGAAGGAGTTGAATGCGGAGACTGCGACTGCATGGGAGATCTTAAAGGCGGCGGAGCATTTTCAACTGGAAGACCTACGGGAGGCGGCGATGCATCTTGGACTTGGATGAGGACTTCTTAGTCCCTAGGGCGCCAGGAGTGCTTTTGTTTTTTGCTTTTGGGTTGTTTTCGTTTCCCGACGTTACCTTTTGGGTAGCTTCAGACTACAAATATCAAGCAACACGTGAAGTTCTGTTCCCTGCTGCGGGCATGGCGGCATGTCCGAAGTGAGGCGTGCGATCCTCATCAGCCCCAAGGTGGCTTTGTGGAAGCGACCTTTTGTGACTGAAGATCTCTTGGACCAAGTGCTCAGTTCCGATTTGATGTGCATTCCGGATGAGGTCTTGTTCGACCTTTTTCTGGCCTGGGAGGAAGGTGAAGGTTGCTTGAGCAGGCGTGAATTGATTGAGAAGTATGTTTGCTTGCAACGGGTTCCGAGCGAGAAGATCAAAGCCTTTGTGTTGAACCCGGAGTTCAACATCCTCAAGACGAGGAAGCCAAACAAAATACCGGATACTTTGCATATTGTAGATCTGGCAGGCCATTTGGGACTGCAGCCTGTTTACAGCCTGGGCGCTGGGTTAGGGGAGTGGATGGAGTGGAAGTTGCCGTCCCACTTTGCTTTGAAGCTGTTGGGATTTCGATTTGCAGATGGCATTGCACTGGAGAACGTGGACTTTAGCTTGTGGTGTGGTGACGACAACCAAGGGATCAATCATGGAAAGCACCAGCAGGTCTTTTCATTCAACGAGTTCGGTAGCATCGAAGCTGGCCAATCGATACGATGCAGATGTGACTTTCTGGTAAGGTGCATCAGGGGAGAAGTGAATTCCTTGAACAGGCTCGAATCTCTTGCCCAGGGTATCAGATTTGAAGGCTTTCTTCAAGACCTTGGCGATGGCCAAAGGGTGAGCAGCTCAGCATGGTGTCGCCGCCATCAGGGCGGCTTTGACCCATGGCTCTCTGATCCATCGACTCTGATCCATCGGCAGTAGCTGTACATGGGGCCATCGACGCATCGAAGCCATTGTCCGGGCGGTCGAAGCACGGCATGGCGATGCACCGAGCGAAAAAGACATGAACCAAGGTAGACTCTTACCGGTATTCTCAGGGTGGTAAGGTGAGCCACGGGATCGAACCACAAGGGTGCTGAAACTGAGTCGGATTGGTTGACTGATGATGTTCTTTGTTTGTATATACACCTCCGGTCGTACCTGCTGAGAAGGTATGACGGGACCCGACGGAACCTGGCACGGGCCCCCGTCGTCACCCCTTCGAAACGAGTTCGGTACGACCGGAGGGCAAACGGGTAAAGGTACGACTGATCCCCTTTCATTTGCTGAACAACTATGACATATATGACTCAACAACTGGTGCTGACACCCAAGAGCTGCATGTTTGGCTGCATGTTTGTCACGCAGGGTAGGTGGTGAGGAGAAAAGAATTGTTGTGTTTGTTTCATTCTTTCCAACTTGGCCCAGTCCGTGGCCGGTGTTTGGGTTGTTGGCTCACAAATCTGCAATTGTTCATTCTGTCCAACTTGCACTAAACCACACAAAGTCCAGTTGTTGGAGGACTTGGGCCATTGTTCAACTGTCAACCAGTCCACACAAACCCTAGGGCTCCAAGTACCTCCTCAGAAGGTATGACTGGACCCTCCAAACCCTCCCCATAACATGTCCAAACACCTTCTAAGGAGGTACGACTGGAGCCCTAGAAAAAATGCAACACCACCAAGTTGTTGGCTCTTATCCAGGGTTTGGGCTACAGTCCAGCTTATATTTTGTTTGTGCACCGAGGATGAACACCCCTTAAAGATCACACCGGATGGATGATCCGAAGAGGAAACAAACAGACCGAGAGTACCAGGAGATGGATATAGAATCGGTCGGAACAGCCATGTCATCCCGTGCACTCCTGCTATATACAGTGGGAAACTCGTGGAACATGCAGCTCACTATGCTATGACCACTGTGCCTTGGAGGAGAACGCTTTGGTTGGAGCTGTTCATGTTCCATGGTTCTCTGTCTGTTGTTATTTTCGGCAGGAGTCTTTGGCAGTATTGCTTTGCCCCGTGTGTCCTCCGAACAAAAGTTGAAAGAGCTTAGAGCAGCTAAGCCCCAGGCTGCCAGGGGTTCTCAGTCATCTGGTGAATTGCAGGGAGTTGTTGACACCTAATGGCAAATGAAATGCATTCAAGATATTCAAGGAGCTGCAACAGTCACCAGTCGCAAAAGGGTTCAGTTGCTCAGGCTCCATGATGGGTCTCCAATGGAAGGTTCCAGATTCATTTTGAATATTTGACCCTTTCTATCCGGACTTTCCACCTAAAAGTTGACCAATCTGTACTTCTCGCTTGAAACCATCAACCACTCAGATCATCCGTTCGTTGGCTCCAGCGGTGCGTGCCAGCCTCGCCCGCGCGGGGGGTTGGCCGCGTCGCGCGGCAACGCCGCGCCGCGCCGAGCAGCCGGGTTGCCATGGTGCAGGACGAGACGAAGAAAGATTGGGTGACTGGGAGAGACGCTTTCAGAAACCCGACAAAGCCCTCTTCAAGCAATATATAGGTAAGAGTAATTAGACGGTACTCTTGCATCTTCACATCTTCAATCATGACTTACACCCCAAATCGAGAAAAGGCAGTTTTAGATGGTGGACATAGCGATTGTTTTATAGTTTTGTTGTGGAGCTCATGGAAGATGGGGACCTGATCTGCGGCAGGATGCACTGGGTATGAGATTGTCAGGAGACATTGGACCTGGATTTCAGAGGTTTTCGGAAGCTTTACGGGTTTTCCGGTCGCATTTGGTTCTAGAGTTGTCAACTGGCTGCCCAAAATCAAGTGATGCCTTGTAACACGCATCGTTGCTTTATATAGAGATCTTCAGAGTCTATTGAGTCTATTGGGGTCGTCAAGTCCTTCTAACGCCTCGTTCTCATCCTTGTAGTGTTCCACCCACTTGACTATTTCAGATTGAACATTGACTGCTACCAGTAGTAGTAATCATCCGTTTTTTACCCTACAAGGGGGGACTGAATCCACTTCGACCTTGTTCAGATCATCAAGCTCCAACTCAAGTCACAGACGCATCCGGATGCGAGACCGGATGCTCAAGTTCTGAGGAAATCAGTTGAGTTTTGTCCTCAAGTCTATCAATACAAACCATTCTTCAATTAATGCCAACTCGTCTCCACGTTTAATAGATTTGTTTCTGAATAAAGTCTTGTCACAAGAATCATCATTGGGAGGCTAGATGCACCTCGATTTTGTTTGTTTTAGTTTATATTTTCGTTCGACACTCTCTGAGTCTCTTGGGACTCTCATGACAGACCATCTCATCGTCCCCGAATCGTCCCCAAGGTAGCAGATCGGCTCGCGGCGTCCTTCGGACGCTCGTTCGGCCGCTTTACCGTGGTGGTGGAAGATCGCTCCGATCGCTGGCACAGCGAGTTCAAGGCGGCACCTGGCAGGAAAGGGAAAGGAGAAAACACATAAAAAAGCTACCCAGGAATGGCCCAGGAAGTACGTGGATAACCTGAAAAACTGTCCATATTTGTTCATGTTGGTCGATCCAGAGTATTCCACGCTTGCGAATCTCGTTCGCTTGAGAGGTAAGAACAGATGGAAAGTTAGGTTAGCCCTTTTTTGCCTTTTTTGAAGGGACAAGGGACAGCAGTCTGGAGTCGAAGATGTGGCGGAACCGGTCGAAGCGGCAGAAACACACGTGTTGGCACCGGTGGAGTTGGGTGTAGTACACTATGGCTCACTAACATGGAAGTGGATGGCAGGGCCCCGAAAGGAAGACGATTTTCCTTTACAAACAGGGGGTGCCATCCACTTCCATGTGATGTGTTCGTCGGAGTGTAGCCTGTGGTGATTTGGAAGATTGACATGCTCTGAGATTGGACCATCCCTTCTTCGGATTGTCCACACACGCGACGCTCCACCCCTCGACGCTGTGATCAGAACCCTTTCGATTTAGACACCTCGAAAGGCGATAGGTGACCAGTTGTTGAGGCTTTAATCGAAATCAGACCACAGCTTTTCATCAGGGAGTGTACTAGGGGGACGCACGATGAGCCATAACAAGTTCTGATTCTTGAGAAGACATCCGCACTCAGTAGCTCTCGTGTCTAGGAGACTGTCCCTTATGAACCAAAGCATTTGAGACGCAGCGAGGCATCGCAACATCCAAGCGCTTTTTTCTTCCAGGAATCAAACAGGAGTAAGCCAAGAGTTTTCAAGAAGCATTTCCAGCCCCAAGGGGGTTTGTCAAGAGTTTGAAGAAGTCCTTACGGTTCAAAAGTCTTTCGGGTCTGCTGGCGATCATATCCAGCTAGTGTGCAGGTAAAAGGAGGTTCATGCAATGGACCAGTGGACAAGGTTCTTTGTGTTGAGTTTGTAAGATACTTTGAGATACCCATGGCCCTGTCACGCAGTTTTCTGGATGCAACAGTCAGGGGACTGTACCCCCACAGTCTGAGAAGCGCTGCGTTTTCTCTCCATGTTGCAGGTCTCAGCTGAGATCCTGTGCGCGTGGTCAGAGGTCTTTCAGAAGATGATGGGCTATGAGTTTGAGGAGCAGTCAAAAGGACAAGTTGCGACTCGCTTGCAGATTGAACCCATTTGGACCCTAAAAGCCATTGAATGTAGAGTCAGAGGAAGAGCCCTCCTCAGGAGGTCCAATGGGTCCTGGTCCATGTCGAGTTGGAGTGTATGTTGGGCAAGCAATTTCAGTGGGTAAGCCATTGATGACCACCTTGTCGCGAAGGTCCCTTGACAGTTGCCTGTCTTCGCCGGAGTAGTTTGAAGAGTTCTGCACTGTTTAGTTCCCCAAAAGTTCTTCACTTGTAACATAATGAGCAAGGATCATTCGTTCATTTCAAGCCTAAAACCCATTTGCATCTTGTTATATAGTTGCCTCTCTTTGGTGCTGCATGTTCATGTTCAACTTGACACTTGCTTGCAGAAACACCAGTGCTACTCATGACCGCTGGTAGCATGACAGGCTTCGAACAGCCAAACGATGTTGCTTCCAAGGCCCGAGTGTTTCTTTCTTAGGGGAGCGGGAGCATTGCCAACATGATCAACATGGTTGTCCTAGACTGACTCGATCTCAACAAGCCCACTCACTTTACTGAGGTCATCCGAGATTTCTCACCGCAGGGAGTGGAGGCGTTTTTGCGTTCCTCAGACTGCAGGTGTTTGTTCACAACCTGTTTTGCCATAGTTGTTCATTTCTGACAAATTGTTGGAATTTATGTTGCACATTTATTTGTTTGGATGTCCATGACAGACATAATCCAAGGTTTCCTTTATTCCGGAACCTTGAATGCCGAACTGGAAACTCTGGCAGAAGTGGCTATCATCGCCGACAAGTACCAAGTACTCGACCTTGCGATGCACTGTGTCTTGGCACTGACGGTTATTCATGTGAAGATGGGTTTTTCTGTGGCACCCTTCTTGGCATCCTGATTGAGCAAGGAAGACCCTTCCACGAGGAGAGTCTTTAGTGAAAGGACAGAAAAAAGAACAACACAACTAGGAGGACGCTGGGTGTGTCTGGGTCCGAGCTTCTTTGTGTGTTTTCTTTTTTTGTTTGCTCGTGACATTTATCAACCCTGTATTCTGAATGCGCAGTTCGCTGTGAAGCACTCCATGTAATGCTAGTTCAGCTTCATCGCTTCCCATGTCCAGACTTAGTCAGTCTGAAGCCCTGGGGTTCCAACTATATACCTCCGTTTCGGTTCGGTGGGACTATTTTCTGGGGGTGCCATCAGGGGTCGGGTCGAAGACCACCGAACCGGGTCGGATGCGGCCAGGAACGGAGGTCGTGCCAAGTGGGAGCCCATGGGAGCGGTTCCATGTCATGGAACTGATGGACTCCATGAATCAAACACGGCCGCAACCAAACGCCCCGTACGGCCCATCCAAGAACCTGTGCTTTTTTTTCCTGAGCAAAACACAGAGAGGTTTTTTGTGACCGTAAATAGGATCCGGAAAACCTGGGATAGTCTATATAGGGTTCTTCAATCCTGTTGGAAAAACATGAAAACCTGGCCCTGAGGGCCGCTGGAACACTGGATCAGCAAGGCCGATGTGGGATCCGCAGATCCGTATACGAACGTCGAGAAAGCAGCGTTCTCGGCCCGGGAGACCGTGTCCCCTTTGAGACACGGCACCGTTGAATGCTGTTGAATGATGTTGGATGGGTCCGTCATGAGTGATAGTCAGCAGTCAGCAAGCAAGCTGAAGATGTCGAAGGGCCAACGCCTCTGACCAAAAAGTCCTGAAGATGTCGAAGTGACGACTGGGTGTCATATCCAATCCCTGAATCCTCGTCACACGCGGGTGCCCAGGTCTTGATCTCTTGAAGAAGGAGTTGAATGCAGAAACTGCTTGGGAGATCTTGAAGGCTGCGGAGCAATTTGAACTAGGAGACCTACGCGAGGCGGCCATGCATCTTGGACTTGGATGATGTCTTTTGGTCCTGCATGGAACAAAAGGGCGCCAGGAGTGCTTTTGCTTTTGTTGTTCTTGGCTTGCTTTCGTTTCGCAACGTCATATGTATTTTTGGAGCTTCAGACAACAAATATCCATCAACACGTGAAGTTCTGTTCCCTGCTGCGGGCATGGCGGCATGGCCAAAGTGAGGCATACAATCCTCATCAGCCCCAAGGTGGCTTTGTGGAAGCGACCTTTTGTGAGTGAAGATCTCTTGGACCAAGTGCTCAGTTCCGATTTGATGTGCATTCCGGATGAGGTCTTGTTCGACCTTTTTCTGGGCTGGGAGGAAGGTGAAGGTTGCTTGAGCAGGCGTGAGTTGATTGAGAAGTATGTTTGCTTGCAAAGCGTTCCGAGCGAGAAGATCAAAGCCTTTGTGTTGAACCCGAAGTTCAACATCCTCAAGGCACGAAAACCCCGGAAAATACCGGTCACGGAGCACACGGTCGACCTAGAAGGCCGCTTGGCATTGCAGCCATATTGCAGCTCAAGCACTGGAACAGGAGAGTGGATGGAGTGGAAGTTGCCGTCCCACTTTGCTTTGAAGTTGTTGGGATTTCGAGTGACAGATCAACTAGAGAACTTGGACTTCTGCTTGTGGTGTGGCAACCACAACCAAGGGATCAAACATGGAAAGCACCAGCAGGTCTTTTCATCCCAAGCCTTTGGTAGCATCCAAGCCGGCCAATTGATCCAATGCCGATGTGACTTTTTGGTGAGGTGCATCAGGGGAGAAGTGAACTCACCCTCAGCTGGACTCCTTGCCTCTGAGATCCGATTCGAAGGTCTTCTTCAAGACTTTACCGCAGAAGCTCAGAGGGAGGCCATCCCAAGCTCATCGTGGTGGCATGGCGAGGGGCCACAGGGCAGTGTGCTCGACCCATGGCATGACACATGGGTAGACTATCATGATGCATGGCACACAAGGGACCCATGGAAGTAGCTGTCCGCTGCCAGAAACGCGTCCGTTTGGGATCCGTTGGAAGTGCAAATGACTCAAGATACGGACGCTTCATGTGCAACAGTTTGGCGAAAAGGTGGCTGCAGCTGACCTCGCTGGGCTGTTCAATGGACCATCCAAGCTAGACCCTGGCGGCCTATCGCTGCCCCGTACTTGTTGATTAAGGTTTTGCAATGGATTTACAGCATCTAAGTTGGTTAAGCTGCAATTGCAGCGGTGAGAGAGGATGAGTTGGCTTATGCAAGCGGACTAAGATTGTGAGAACGCTGCTCATGACAACATGTTTCTGGTCTCCAGTTCCGGGACTGTTTCGACATGTTGACAGTCTCAGACATGCCTAGATCGACATGCTGAACCCATGTGTCAGATTGTTGTGGTCATGGGTCATATAGTACTTATTTGCCTCCAAACATCTTCTCCTGTCTTCAACCAGCTGACACCGAGTCAGCTGCTTCTCCTCCATGAGTTCAGCTCCAGTTCCTAAGTGACCCTGCTCGGAGGCTTGTTCGTGACCGAACCAACTCAGCATGCGGGAAACCCTCTTCTTTCGAATCGCCAGGCTGGCTCGAACCAGTATGGATGGACGGGATGAACAATCCCAGGCGCATTCCGGACAGTGACTGTATGGCTGTGCATGCATGTCTCAACAACCGATTTCAACGGTGTCCACCGCGCGTCAACGGTGTTGAGTTCCGCTCCAAGGGTGTGTGACAGTTCGGATGGTTGAGTTCCTTCCAGCCATATCAAGCATCTTGCTTAGCCTGGGGTCCTTCACGCTCTGGGTCTGGGTCTGGGTCCGAACACTCGACACACGCCGGTTTCCTTCGCGTGCAGCATCATCACCGTGTTAAGTCGCGTCAGTTTGGAAGATGCCGGCATGGTTTTGGGTGATGCTGCATCTTCGCACACCAAGATGTTCAATTCAGTTGATTCTCCTGTGAGACTTGATTGTCGATGTTTTTTGGTCCACAGGCTTGAGGCTTGCAGTGAAGAATGGCCGAATGGCCTAAGTTACCCGATTGAAACGTTGTTTGGGGCATTGGGGAACAGGCCACTGGAGCCGCATGCAGAAACAACCTCTTATATAGTTGGTCAGAGTGTGGGGGGGACGCTTGATTGACTTGATGTAGAAGGCATAAGTATTAGCGTAGCATGTTGGCCATACAGGCAATTCTCCATGCAATTTCTTTAATTTCCCACTGCTGTGCGTGCGTGGCAGCTGTCCAATACAAAGCACCATGCACCATGCTCGCCAATGAAGGACAGATGTGGAAAGCAAGAAAAAAACAACGCAGCACATGGGTTACCCTAAACAACAAAGCCATACATGTTCATACATGTTCCATGTTCTGCGGACAAAGACAAGTTCTTCTTACATAGTTACTTGTAGTCTCCTCTTTGACCGCTCATTGGATCACGGTAAATTTTCGCTTCAGGTGCTTCCAGCGGGTGGCCAATCCTCACATCAGAGATATGGTATGGTCATTAAAAGCATCCATGTACAAATGTTCAACACCACCATCAAGTAGATAAGTTCCCAGCCCCTCTTGAAATGGACAATCAATGAAATACACACCATTTACTAACAACTCGGTAGAAAACCAACACATTCCGCTAAAACCAATCCTACAATCACAGAAATGGCGGTAGCAGTGGCCAATCTGTGGGACATCACGAAGAAGGAATGTGTACCTTGGGTTGAAATGGGCGATGCCACGATTCCGGAGTTTGCTGAACATGGATCTTGATGACCTGGACACGTGGAGAACCTAAAGAATAAAAACAAAATACTGTCTTAAGGGGATGGGTTTTCCCACTCAAAACAAAACACGAGCAGGTGGAGTTTATTCGGTGAACAAACTGTGTGTTTTTCAAGGGATGGAACAGCGGCAAAAGGGAAAACGGTCAGACGAAGACCCAGGAAAAGATGGAAAAGACGCAGGTGTCGACTCCTCTTCACCAATGGTCAGATGCGATCTCCAGCGGGAGCCACGCAAAAAAGACAGGAGCGCTTTTCTGCTCTTTGATCTCATCCATCCAAACCTGGAGCCTGCGGATCAGGTTGTTTTGTATGATGTCTGCGCAATTTCGAGCGAGGACTGACGAGGTACGAGGTCCGTTTGGAATTGACCAGGTAAATTGACCAGATGATTTAGGTCATTTTCCCCGGAACTGGGTCAATCCCCCCGAAACTGGGGAAGATGTGGATCTTCTTTCTCCGCAAGAGTGAACAATAACTTCGGGTCACATCGGATCGCATCGGCCGTTCCGGTTCCGGTTAGGGTTTTGGGCGTGAAAAGCCAGATTTAAAAAAAAAAAAATCATCGAAACGAAGCAGATCTCATGATGCATGTTTGGCCTGTTCAATCGTTTTTTTCTCCTGTAACTAGTTGTGTTCTAATCATTGGAGTTGTTGGAGACACCAAAGCCGTCCCACCATTCCAGCATCGCTAAAAACACGTTCCCGAACAAAGCCACTCTTCCCAACCTCCTTCTTCGCAAACCCCTCCCAACCCGTCTTCTTCGCCGCGGAGTGAGCGAGCCACACCCCGTTGGTTCACACTTTCGCGCTGTCGCGACACGTGTCTCGAGGGTCCACGCCGGTGTCCACACGGGTGTGAGACCGCCACCGACCGGACCAGGTGGCGGAGAAGTTGGCCTTTTCCTTCAACAAGAGCGGCGACTTCACCGTGGTGGTGCTGGAGGGCGACTCCAGTGGCGAAAAGGTCCGGACCGAGTTCAAGGCGGCGCGGAGCTCGCGGAGTGTTCGCCTCGAAACGTACTCTGAGCGGGGCGGAGCGGTGTTGTCCTGGTGTGGTTGGCGCGACGTGACACGAAAGAACATGGCGGTGAAACGCGGAAGGCGACCGCGGGGCTGTTTGGTCACAAAAACCATTTGGATTGACAAAAACGAGTTGCGTGAGGGGTGCCATGGGTGGATGGCTGGGTAGGTCTTTGGAGGATTAGATGGTTCATTCCAACACTGTGTGTGTGCGCGCAAGATTTGATGGGATGTCAATGTGTAGAGGACGTGACGCAAGACTCCTCAGACAAGATCAAGTTTGATGAAACCCGAACCTCACAAGACAATTGTCTTGGAAGTGAACAATTGTCTTGGAAGACTACTTATCCACTTTCGTGTTGGTGAGTCCCAGTGTGGGCAAATCATGACCTGCGACATCCAATGCTGCCATGATTTGAACGCCCAATGATTTTCAGGTTTGGTCCGTGATCATGTCCTCATGGTCTGAGTATTTTGACAAGATGCTTGGCCAGTACTGCGGCCGTTGGTACGGCTGATACGTGACAATCTGTTGGGCAGTGAGAGGAAATCATACTGTTTGTGGTTCTGTGATCCCTATTGACGGTTAGGGGAGTGCTGCTTTAGATGCGTATGGGAGTCGTTCAACAAACCAATCTCTAATATGCTTATAGTAAACCAAATACCGGAACAAACTGTTGTTTTAGTATGCTTTAGTCCCTTTATGTTTGATGACAGTTAGGAAAGTACTAGCTGAAAGTGTGCATGATGAGGATATGTTTTGTTAATATTATAATATGTTGTTGTTGATGATGACACTGATGAGACTTGAGCAACTGTTTGATGTTCGACACACACTCAGGATGATGAGCCATGAGTTTGAGGAAAACACACAGCGTCAGGTGGCCGCTGGGCAGGGAAGCATAAGGTATCCTGTGGGTGGCAGAGCAGAGTTGTCCTGTTTTAAGCTGGTTGAGTCTGCACTTCCAGTGAGTGACTAGTTTGAAACGTCACGGTTGACGGTTGGACGAGATTCCTGACGACTTTGACCTGTAAGTAAAGGACAGCTACGAATCGAACAGATTGTCCATCATTCCCATGTGGCTTTAGCGATCCTTTTCTGGAAGATGGTCATCTACAGCAGAGATTGTGGTGGTTTAGTGTTGACTCAACCAAGTCAATGTTGTCGATGTTGAGTGTCGATGTTGAGTGTGAAGAGCCGCACAGGAGCGGCTCCTTTGGCAGTATGCTAGATGTATGTTCCCTAGAAGTCGAACCACCATTGTTTTAATAGCCTTTACCGAACCACCATTGTTTTACTAAGGGTTTTACTCTACAAAACCAGGTCAACAATTTTAAAAATGGTCGACTTGACTTCCAGGGTGTTTGTATGATAAAGCAGGTTATTGAAGGACCCAACTTTCATCCTGTCCTGTCCCACATTGGTTTGGGGTAGACCTTTTAACGTCCAAATCCCACGAACCTGCTAGACTGTAAACAATTGAAGTTGCTAAACCTCTAAATCAGATTAAGAGGATGTCAACTAAAATGCAGACAACCGATACAAGAACAAACATAAAAATAACTAAAAACAAACAATCACAAATTCTCGTCCTCAACAAAGCGGACTCATTTTGTTTTGTTGTCTCTGTATACTAATTGTAACGAACAAAGTTAGTCTCAAAACAGGGAGCCCAGGCCGCAGACGGTCGGAGGGAGTACAAGGGAAAGCAAACGACCCAATAACCCATTTGCAGAAAAGACTGCCTCTCATCATCTTGACAAACCAGTAGTATGCTGAAGCAAACACCATGTATACCCAGCGATCCAAGAACATTCCCGCTGGTTAAATCACGTCAACCTGGTTCTGAGATGTGTTTCTTGATCTGTATGGAGCAAGCCAATCTCTTCTTGAGCGACCCTGGCCGAGTGCCTCCTGCGCTTCTCCGCCAAAAACTCTTATGAAGCAAGTCCATCGATTCTTCCATCAAAATTCCCAACACCTTTCGTTTCGCAGCTACCTGGATCGTTTCTAAGACAGTAGCTCAATCCAATGATCCACCGATGCCAAGACATGTTGCTTTGTGACCTGGGGTATGGTAGATCAATCCGATCCGATTCGATCCGATCCGCTCAGGTGATCCGCGACTTTTCGCCCAAAGGCATCGAGGTCGTCTACCTCCGCCAGAGGGGGAGTTGCGGAGGTCGAGCGGATTGGAGGTCCAGACTTCGCAGACTTGGCGAAGCCTAGGAATGGGTCAAAACCGGTTTTTCCTCACCGGAAAGGAACAGAATGGACGGAATGGATGACCTAAAGGAGACCTATGGGTGTGCGTAAAAATTGGGAGACCTCCCAGGTAACGACTTCCTGGAAGAAGGAAAATCGACTAAAACCCAAGGGGTCTCCTTATTTTTTGATACACACCCATATCGAGGTGACCCATTAGTTGGAGCTGGAGGCTTTTCTTGAAGGTCTTGGGGGAATGTAAATATGCGGACGTTCCATGGAGTTTTTTTGGGCAAGCTATCCGTTGATCGTCGAGTTTGAGAAGAACGGCTGCCAGTTGTTTGAGGTAATGTGAGTGGATTCACACCGAATTGAACAGGTTGGCAAGCTGAGTTGTCAGCATTGTGAGATGTCGAGGAAGTGTCATTCCAAGTCTTGTTCCCGGATCCTGGTCGATTCACGTGCCGATTCATGTTTGTCAAAGATTTCTCCCAAAGAAATCCACATACCAGACCATAAGTCATCATAAATAAGTTCACACTTGTCACATATTTTTCTATACAACGAAAAGACTAAGACAGAGCCGAATCCAGCCACTTCAGCAAGCCTTTAGA